GAATAAAAAAAAAAAAAAAAAAAAAAAACATTTATGCGAATTCTCATGGATACCTTAATTTAAATTCATGCAACGTTCACTGGGTCTTCAGGTCACTTAAGTAAGTCAACGTCGTTGGGTGGGATTGACGACCCGTGACCGACTGAGTGACCATTGGTCATCCGGCCTGATTGTGAAAGATGACCGGTTCATTGGCAGTGAGTTGACAGCTGTCAAAGATAGTATAGATTTGGTACTTCGGTACCGTCAGACTATATATATATATATTTTAGATTTTGAAATTCTCCGTTGCACGGTATTACGATAAAGTCGCATCTAGATCTGAGTCCATCATGAACGAATAATTTTTTTAATGGTTAAAACAAAAATTCAAAAATTCCCTATAAACAAGATACAGTGGAATTTCGTGTATCTTCGTGCAGAAGGATCGCACGATATTTTCTTATGGCTTTGAAGTCTTGGAAAACTTGATAAGAGACGAAGTCACGACCGGAAGTCTATGTTGTTAACTGCCAACCGAAAGAACGGTAAGGGCATTTGTCACGCGATGCTGGATACATTATAAAAGCAATTCGTAATAACGTCTTGCGAATGAGGCGAAAGAAGATATTGATAAAAAGATTTAAGCAAGAAAAATAATAAGAAATGCATTTAATTCTCGAGTCAATCGGATATGGTTAGGTTATTTAGATTTCTGTGTCACGATTCTCACGACGCGCCAAAAACAAGTGTCGCGACCGAGTGCGTTTGACAGTTCATTCGACGGGCCGCCTTCGATCGAACGTTCGTTAAAATTTTTTGACGTTCGATGGAAGCGCGGCCTTTTTCGAACAGGATACATATGGCGCCGATCTGGTACACAGTGTCGTGAAGGTGGCTTCAAAGTTTTTTTTTTTTTTTTTTTTTTTTTTAATACTCATAATAAACATGTCACATTGCGAGAACGAAAAATAATGATATCCAACTCAACGACTCAATGAAAAATATTATCCGACAAAGCAAACCCAATCTCGGGTCCATTGATTGGACAACGAGCACGGTTAATAAAGTAATGAGTTACTCTTAGCCAGTAACTTGGATCAGTCACCAGGCGCGATAGGGTCATTGGGTTAAGGAAAGAGAACACGATCTTCACGTTGTTCGCGGTCTGACGAGACAATAAAAATTATAATCCTTTTCAAAATTGACTTTGTCCCTTTTCTTAAATTCCACTTACTATAGTCCCAATTGAAGGTGGACGATTGATTTGTGTAAAAAAAATTTTTTAATTAAAAAAATATTTTAATTTTCATTATTAATAAAATTATCAATTTTTACCTGATAATGTCCAAAATTCATTTAGCCATTTTCAATTCTATATACAAAGACGTATTCCAGCCGAGTATCATTGCCACGAAGTTGGCCGCACTTGGATCCAGTCTAGGCCAGCCGGAGCAGGAATGAATCAAGATCATAAATTGACACGCGATCATTGCGATCATTAAGGTTCGTTTGGAGACCTAACCTAACAGACTGTGAGAATAAGTACCTGCAATGTGTATACCGAACTATGGAATGATCCGGTCATATAATTTTCAAATTACAGCAAGAATCATTGATACTAAAAATTCTTGGCTGATGTTACGCAATATTTTTTTTTTTACAGCATCCCATAAGATAGTAACGGACCATAAGGTGAAACATTATCTACTAATGTGGAACGTATAAAAAAGGGAGGGTTGTCTCTGAATTAATACCAGTTAGCTAATGAATAATTTACTTGGACCAAAACAAAATGGCGTCCTGCGAGCGTAGAACCATTTCGATATGATCTCGGCGTGCAGCCACGCAACTGACTTCTACGTTCTAAAGCAAGAATGCGCACTTAGATAATATCTTATACCGAACACGGTCAGCATCCCGATGCAACATGCACACCCGGTATATGAACGCGAGTCGATTATTTTTTTTAGAAAATAAAATCTACCACGCAGTCATTAAATTATACTGAAAGTTGAAGGTACCAAGGACCGAAACAAGTTTTTTGGTGAAACAAGGGATTGTGGTAATTTGTAGTGAAAGAAGAAAATTTTTTTTTTTAATGAGAAACATGACTTGGGGGTTAGACTGAATGAAAAAAATACGTGAGAAAATGAGGGCGAATTTTTAGGAAAAATAATATTTATATCCGAGCATGACCGGGGAACATGTTCTCTGGCATGACCTATGACTCATGACGTAATTCAAAGGATACACAATTAAATATATTACCACGATTATGTCAGTTAATTATAGATCGTACGATTGGCACGCGACTCAATGATAATACCAGTTCGTAATTGATCCGTGTTATCGCGATTTACGGATACGCCCTAACGGATTAATTAACCTCTGCCACGATCAAACTCGATGATTCGATAAGGTCGAGCTATTAATTGATCCTGCGTCAAGATACCCCAACCTAACCCGTATCTGAATATTGTCTACGGGAAAAGTAATATTTTCCGTTTGCCACGAAGATAGATTCAAAAAGACCGCGTCAATTTAAATTTTAATTGAAGCCGACGCCACGAGAGGACGCGCGAGTACCGGACGCGGGAAATTACGAATAATTTAATTATCACAAGGCGCGGAAAATAGGATACATATATATATTTTTTTCTATCTTTACGAGCTAAAGGCCCATCCACACGTGAACGAGCACTAAGGTAGGTATTATATTTCCTACTAAGAGAGAACAAGCAAAGCAAAGAATTTACATCCATAATTTAATTTTTTTTTTTTAATAATTCTAACCGTACGTTCTTTCTCGCCCTGCTACATGCATCGGACCCCGTTGCGAGCTACAGGAATGCAATTTCCAAGATACGCGTGGCCGTATTTCTGCGACAAATTGCAGCCTTCCGTAAAACAATAAGAAAACAGCTGCCAGTGAAAATTATAATCGCATTAACCGTCGACCAAGGAAGGCATGACGTAGTGTTTACGTGAAACGTCATTTTTTTTCTAAGTATTTACCTTTTTTCCGCCTTTCGCCGAAAAAATAAAGTAAACCTCAGTAACGGGGCAGGAAACCGAGACAAAGTCGGCGGACGGTGATACACACGAGTAAAGGAATCTCCAGGAAATCCTCAGGAGATAAATTCTCTCGCTAATCCTGAGAATTTCCCACGATACGCCCACCGGGATCCCAACGAGTTGACAAAGGCTCGTGATCCTTCGAGACTTCTACTGGATCTTTCACAAGCAACCGATCCTTTTTCCGGCAGGGTACTCATTCAGAGTTAATCCCTGATCCCAGACGTCCTGACGTCCCTGCTGATATTTCTGGCGATATTTCTTTTTTTCTCAGTCGGTAAAGTCGTAATCATTCATACGGCTGGTTTTCTTATTTAATCAATTGTACCAACTGAGAATATACGGGCTGGTATACCCTTGACTACGAAACGTATGATTCTTTATGAATGTACCGGTATGAATGCACAGAGCTGCTGTGTACTAAATTTAATTCAGACTACTTGAATTCACGAGTGGAACCGCTCCGGCGACGGCGGTGAGTGTAGATGTATTTATTTTTACCTCTAGTCCTTGCGGAATTAATCTGCATTAGCATACTTAATTAGACAAGCATTAAGGACACGCACGTTGGCGATTTATACACGTGCGAATTCGGCTTATGGTTTGCCGAGAGCAAACGGGATACGTGAAAGAAAAAAAAAAAGACTGTAGAATAACATGTAAAATGTCTTGTTTACGCACCAGTGAAGAAGTCACAGTGAAACCCGGTGGTTCGAAATTCCGGTTTTCCATGAACGTAGACGTGTGGATGGTGATTTAGAGACAGAGTGTCAATAGAAACCGGATTTTTTTTTTTTCAAATTCAAAATGCTCAGAACTGGCGTTAGCATGAGAATAGAGGCCGCGGTGAATTGAAAGGCTACACCCAGTGACCCCGATGAGTATGTTTGGTCGGTAGTAAAGAAAAAATTGATATTTGAAAGAAGCGAAAATCCTCAAAAAGAAAAAGAAAAACCTACCTTGAAAGCAGCAGAGCAGGAAAATCCCAAGGACGATCTGACGTTGCATCCTTGAGCTTGCTAGTCGCGACCGAACGAAAAATCTCCGAGGATGAGACCAGGACGAGGAAGTAAAAGAGGACGGCGAGGTGCACGAAGAACTGTGCGGCAACCGAATGCAATGAACAGTACAAGGGTAGGAGGTGGAGCAGGAAGAGGAAGACAAATCGGGAAGCCAAGAGCAACGTGGTTCGAGCTGACTTTTACGGCTCTTTACGGAGCGATGGTGGTGGTCAGTGAAAGAGGAGGAGAAGGAAATGCCCTCTTCGACCTCTATCGTCCTTCGAGGTCCACGAACGACTGAGGCACTCGACTGCTGTCGGTCCGGCTATAGCCTCCCCTTCCTACTTTCCCAACGTGCTCCCATTTCCAGAACGACCATTACCATTACCAATGAAGAGACAGTCCTCATCCTCGACGACGAGTAAAGATCTCTTCTCTTCTCGCCTCCTTGTCTCCTGTCCACTTCGCGTCTCTTCTCTTATCTACATTTCTCACTTAACATCATCGGTATTCTCCTCTCTCTTTATTCTCATCTCAGAGGACATTTCTAGGTCACGTCTCCCTGCACTCTGCAGTTGCACCAGCCAACCGGTCCTTCTCGAATAATTCATCGCTCGGGATCCTTTCTTGTTCCTGATGTTCACGCTTTGATCGACCAATGAATCCCACCTGTTCGTTAAAAATAAAATAAAAATTATTGGCACGCCGAAATATATAATCTACCAAGATAACGAATTGAACGTTATAAATTAATTGTAAACTAGATTCTAATTATATATTATTATTTTACCTTTGTGAGAGTTTTCCAACGGGAAACCATTTTCCTGAAGATCCTATCAAAAATGACAAAGCCACTTTGATCTTATGGCAAAGCCATATACCAGCAAGAACGAACGTCTCCAGCATCATCGTCCGTCGGTGTGAAACATCTTTGAGGTTGTGTATATAATATTTTGAGGTAACCTGGCAACAAGTAATACAAACTCGTTAGCTTCTTAACTGGGTCAGCTCGGGATTAGTCTAGGGTACGACGTACAGCCAAAGGGTTACACGACCGATTTTATCTGCAGCTGCAGGCTGCAACTGCACCTACTCTTATGCATCCTCGCGTACGAGCATATGTCTTAAGGAATACGTATAGCTCTACACCACCGTAAAGTATCTCCTTGTTATTGGAGAGACCGCAGAAATACGAAGAATCTAGCTTCGTGTGGCTTCACCATTAACCCACTTGCTCGTTTAACATATTCCTTTACTTCGGACGACCACTGGAGTTACACTGGGTGTTAGCCTAACCTGACCTCTTCGGATTGTATATATTATATATGCACGTACCAGCATCAATATTTAAATCTTTCGTACGGGTCACGTCTTATCTACGTTCAATATTAATCATTAAAAGATTTAAAATTATCTGACTCGATTAGTCCAGTATCCTCGTGCTTCTGTAGAATTACGATAGTTCCCGGGGAAGCCGGCAGAGCGCGCCAGCGGCCTGATTCTTTTTCAGCTGAGAATCTTGCTTTAATTAGGCCCAATTATTCCGACATGACTCAGTGCCAGGAACTTCGTGTATTTTCAAAATCTAAGTCTATCTGGTTATGCTAATCGCACGGTCGAAACGTGTTTGAATAATGATACCGTTTTCGAGGTATCGAACTTTAGGTCGATTAGTCATTCGCTCTCAGTTGTTCTAGTCGTTCGCTAAATCGTAGAATCGTTTTGTTATCGTTCGATGCCCTTCGGCGACTGTTGGTTTTTCATAATAGGTAGAAAAACGATCTTACCGATCAGGTTAACGATTTAATTAATCTTTTTGCGATGACTGTCCGTCCGTGAAATTGCGACGACTCGGTATTGTCGGTTTGGCAAGAATCGACGGTTGCTGTATGAGTACATTATTTAAGTTGGTGGACGTGCAATGAACTCGAGATTTTTAAATTAAAATATTGGGGTAACAGATTTTTTTCTTTTTTTTTTTAATTACAATTATATTTCTACTGTTGTAATTATTTTTTAGAATTAAAATCGATCGGTCTCGAAAATGTAAATTTATTTTAGTCGACGTTTTTTCGGCATACTGACAATGCTGGATATTCATCATGAGAAATGTTCCAGTTAAATGAAACGGGACCTGCAATTTTCTTATTACGTTCGATAAGAGGTTAAACGTAGCGGCAACCCTCTACGTAATTGCAATAATTATTCGTAAAACCGGTACCGTCGAAAAACCGTTCGTACGACGCTTTCAAGAGGTGAGTATCGATTTTACCGTACAGCCTTGATCGAGAATCGATTACTTAAAAGTAAAGGCAATTATGCCAGGAATAATCAAATCTGGTACTTATGAGGTAGGATTTATATTTTTTTTAATGTTATTGTTATTATACTCGAAAAAAAGATCAATAGAAATTTCATATATTTTTAGTCAAATATAATTTTCAATTAAGAACGTCTTACGTGAGACTAGAAGAATTTTGGCTTAATTTGTAATAAAGCTTGTCAGATTTTCGTTTCTAATTCAGCCGGAATCAATGTGGCGCGTTAGATGAAAAAGTCATTTCAAATGCAGAGAATAAACGTATAGCGGAACGACGATCGGTATGAAGAAGGCAAGAAAACGATTTTATTTGTATAAGGGATAAAAATGAATGACGATCTTGTGGTTTTGTGAAAAACTTAACGAGTCTGCAGCAGACTGATCTTATGACAGTTATTATGGTTGAAATGAAATAAGAAATAGCCAATTTTCGAGGATTTCATTCGTCACGGAATAAATCACGTATCCCTGATGATTTATCAGTATCAATTAATATTATCAATCCCTCGTGTTTCGAGCAGACCGGGATTTCTCGGCTTGTACCACGCCTATTTCCGTCGATCGACCAGTCGATTTTGAAGTATGACGTTAATACGAATTGCCTGACAGGGAGAAAGTGTGTCGACGTTTGGGCAAACCTTGGAATCCAAAAAAAGCTAATCCGTAATATCCTTATCATATCTGACAGTTCTTCAATGGGATATGACCTTCGATACTCCAAGAATCGATAAAACCACTGAAAAAAAAATTAAGTCGCGTTACAGTTACAAAATATCTTAGGAAAAGAATAAAACAGGAAACTGCGGTAGCAATTTTGCGGATGATTGGTATTCGAATATCGATCGAGTCTCAATGACAGTGTCTGAGCGTATAATAAAACAGAACGAAAGTTTTGCGACAATTTATCGAATAAATCTTGTGGAGATTTATGAAGTAAATCAAATTCGCATTGTATACAAAAAAAAATTACGTGACAAGTTCTTTGAACCACATAAATTTTTACTGATTTCATTTAAATTTAATCCACCTCCGAAAACGTCCTATGCCAGTCCTCGTTTTGACTCTGACTGATCTTTCTGGAATTGCAGAATTTTTCTGCACATCCTAAAACGGCCTTATGAACACTGCGCGGATAAGGGATTAGATAGGCGAATATCCGCGCGAGGTTATGCGTGTTCAAGGTACTGGATTCTCAGGGTGTATTTCCATGCATTAAATAAACATTTTGCGATGTCAAACGTGGAAGACTACTGCGCGTCCCGGTGTCTCGTGTTCATGACCATATTCAGGAACTCGTAAAGTATGCAACTGGGCAAGGTAGGTAAGTGCTTCGTTGCATAGCGACAGTGCTACTACTCAGAGACTCGTTAAATTACTATCGGGACCTCTCACCTCTTGGCTAACTAATCGCCGTTAACTATCGATAAGAGCGACTAACTTTGTATTTCCTATGTAATTCGTAAGCTGGCATCAGATTAGACTCCTTACAATTCACAGAATTCCATCGAAGCATAATCTACATGAAAGGTACTTCAAGATGCTGTAACCTAAAACGATTATACTGAAATATACTAAAACGATTATACTGATAATAAATTATACTAAAAAAAAATTTTGATGATAACTTACAATTTCTTCGATCGATATGTATGTCCTTGTCTTACTCACGTACCGTCCCAATACGCCTGTCACTCACGCACTCGCGGCAGGCATAGAAAATTCCGAAAATTTCACACATTGGGTTACCGCACTTTAAAATCTCTGATGATATGATAATCCAAGTTTTTCTATATTATTTTACCGGTCTTCCAAGTAATGCACTGTATTTATGGATCCGATATGATTGAATTACCCCGTCAATTGATAGAGACAGCTGCGATAGTATAGTTAGAGAAGATAATTAGATATTCCTGAAAAGGAAAATCAATCCGTAATTGACGGCTGAACTGGTAATAAGTGTCATGTGGTTGTCGCTTGCATCTATCCATTAGCTGCTTCGTGACCGACAACAAATGTAAAGATGGACGAGACTGGAGCATGGTTTAATTTGATGAACGACCGGGGAAAAACCGGAATGTCTAGTGTCAGCTAGCCGGCATAACAGGGATGTCTCCTTCTTGTTTACAAGAATTTGCCACGTAGAACCAAGGAGTGAGTCCGTGATGCGATCCATTTCAGTCATCTTGTTTGTTCTTTCGTGTCAGGTTGACATAATTGCCGTGCCTCTGATTTACCGATCACCACGTCGTCCGCCACTTCACTATAATATCTTGAAGACAGTAACGATTGCTCTTCCGTCCAGTAGAATCCATCAGGGATATTGATGTATTCACACAAAAAATGTATAAATTTTCCAGATCAAATCAACATCCAAGGTATTTTTATCATCGATAAAATATTTGTCTGTTTTATTTATCTTTCTTTTTACCTCTCATTTGACGAATTCCATATAATACAATCGCGTTGGAAGTATCCTGGTAATTTTGTAGTACATTAATTTCAATGATAATAACAATACCCTGTGCGGATTGATCGTTCTGCTTTTGTGAGGTTAATGGCGCTTAGTGACTTTCGATGAAATGTCTGAAATGATCTTCTGGTAGTTAAACGACGTCACAGAACGCCCGGCTAATTGGCTGAGTGAATGTTTTACATTCCTCCTGTACGTAAGTACAAAAAGTACTTCATCCCGACGAGGTAACGTGCGTTTTGTTCCGCTTAAAAGAAACCGTCGCGGAATGAGGAAGAGATTTTGGGACACGGGTGGCAGTCAACGTGTAGTCACGCAGTCGGCCGTCAGTGGCAGCAACGACATCGGTAGAAGCGGCGGGAATTATGAAAAAAATAAAAATAAAAAAATAGGGAGGGAGCCTAATAAGAAATCAGAATGTGAAAAACATTATTTTATCATCAGGATCCTTTGTGCCGTAAGAAATTAACCGAACAATGGTAAATTACTGAAAATACATTATCTTCGTTCTATGGGCTCCTTTCTTTATTATCATTATTATCAGCGATCATCCTCGGGCAATACTTTTCTCTCGTTCTCTAATGAGCCTCACTGATTGGTCGCCCTAGGGCGAATTCTAACCTATCTTAACCCTAATCGATAGGATCATCTTCACGATACCCATCCTGTCGATCAGGACCGAAAGCAATGGTTAGGACGAGTTTTATTTATTGCAATTAAATATTCAAATATATTAATCACCCTGTAGACACAGAATATCTGAAGCTGACAGGATTCATATTGATAACTCATTTCAAGAACAGTCCGAAAATATTTAAGCCGGCATGCTTGCAGAGGATCAAGAATAGCCAAGATCTACGTCTCATTTCAATTCATTATTGCTGTCACGTAGATCGTTAGTTATCACTTTTTTTCCTTCAATTAATATTCAATGATATAAGTGAATGACTAATGCGGGTCGTCAAATATTTTTACACCTCGTTTGCGAGAACTCGGTCGCGGTTCGATCTTGTCCACAGCAGCTGGTTACCTTGCATTGGACCGTTAATGCAGCCTCTTTACCGTTCCTTGCAAAGAACCGATCTCCATTATTCACTCCTGGCCAATTTACGATTTTATTTGTTAACCTTTTCCTCCCCGTCATTAAGAGCATTCTCCTTTTTACCAGCTGCTTGCAATTCTTCACCTCGGCTACGTAACCACCATTAAAATTTAATGGCCTTTGAGGTTATACTTGGGGCTGTACGATCACTTGGAATCAATTATTATTGCCTTTTTGATTTCCTGTCTTTCGAATTGTAAATAAAACTTGTGTTGTCTTCTTTTACGTCAATGCTCTTATATGTAATTCGGAGTGCACTTTTGATTGTGTTTTTAACTGATGGTTTCTTCGTAGATATCTTTGATAAGGCCTTAACAGCATAATAAATTATTATAGACTTCATCATGACTTCGCTTTAGAAATATATGAGCTATAAATTTTAGATAAGTTTAAACATTAGAGTTGTTATTACGTCGTTATATGTTACTATAGTGCATAATGAACGATAAATGTCCGATCCTCGCTTCTTAAGGATTGCAATTTACCGAAGTCTATTTCTAAAATAAGATTTTATGATATTTATTTTTAGATACAGGTGCTATATCCATCGACTCTTACGAACATTCTGGTTCATTGAGGTATTGATAGTTAAATACTTACGTGTATTGTATATTAATCAGATGATAGTATAACTAATTACAAGCTTTAACACTTTCACTAATGTAGCCGCACCTGTGCACCGTTGTGGTCATAGTGGCAAAGGAGGGGGCACTCAAAGGGTTAATTAATTAATAAATATAGCTGCTGGTATCTGTCAATTAGTTTATCAGCGTTATCATAGTTTCCTTCTGGCTTGTCATTATGGATTTACTTTATAGTTGCAGATGGCGTTTCTTTTTCTTTCGAGATTTTTGGTCTTGTACCATAAGAACAGATTTCTGGTCGGTAAATTGAAGTTGGTACACTTATTTGATATATTGTTTATACATTGATAGATTATGATTAGATTAACTATAGACGGCAGAGGTGCTAGTTCCCAAAGAAAACAGGCTTATTTTTTTCTCGAAATTTTAGTTATCTTACTGCAATAATGCAGTTTTCGGCTTTTACCAACAGATGCGATTCGTAGTATTGATCATCACCCTCTGGGTCTGCCAATTCCATGGCACCAGACCGCCACGAAATCTCTCGTGTACTCTCGTGGAATGCCGGCTTAATCGAATCTCTGAAATACATGTACGGCTTCCTCCGGGTGCCCCATCTGTAGTATCTCGTATTCCATCAGATTAGATGAGGTAGAGCATAAAATCAAAGTAGTTTGGGCGTTAAACATTATTACAGTCATACCACAAGTGATATCATACAATTTTTTAACATGTGGTAAGTGGTTGTGTGTAACAAACAAATTATTCAAGTAATTATTCATTTGTTTACAAACATGATTCACACATAACCTTACAACTAAGATCTAGTAAAGTGATTGTAAAGATTTCTCTTTTTCTTTTCATTATACAGATGTGGAGCCCATGCAATGGCACGATGGTCGACAGTACTGTCGGGGGTGTTCCTGGCTCTTTCGATGGTCCTGTCGCTTGGAAAGTTACTAATGCTAGCTGCAGGTAATGGCAACAACGGAGACCTCAGCGAAGCAGATCAATGGCTTGCAGAAATTGGGCTGAAGCAATATCGTGCCCTTTTCAAGGAAAAAGGTATGTCCTTTAATATGAAAATTCTTTCATCCTAAAACATAGCATAGCTTTAATGTTCCTTGTACTTAGCTGTGCAATGGTTGGTTGGAGAAGAAAAATCTGTACAAGGGGTATGCATTACCATGTTCTACATAATCATGTATTATCAAATATGATATCTGAAATCAAAACAACCCACGAGACACTTACTAACCACTACCATAATTTTATGGCACAACATTCTAATATAATTCTATACGGTTATTATAGATTTCTATTTCCTTCCATTCATGGTATTCCATGCTCTAATAAGTGAATTAAAAAAAATGATAAAACTGCTAAACGAACCTTGAAATATTAACATACAAGCATCTTTGTAATCCATTCATGGTCCCGCCTTCCTCTACGTCACTGCCGGTTCTCGTTTACTTACCTTCCACAATAATACCAACCAATCTCATCCGAAGAACCGTACCACGTGACACATAAATCAATTGACCTCCCCTGCATCCATAAGACAGTAAGCCGACAAAAAAGATAAATTACAAAAATTCCTCGCCCAAATTCTACAATCAATTTCTGCGACAGGTTGATAATAGACTCTTTCATATCGCACATTATTATCACTGGCACAATGAAGCCATCATACTTCGTCGCAGCATGAAGATTCATTGTTTTGGCGACTGTCCAATTCTCTCTTAGCGAGAAACACCGGATATTATCGACCGGCCGTAAGGTTATCAGACTTCCGGTCCCCATTAATTACCAGAGTCCCGAGGATCAAAAAGAAAGAAGGTATCCCCAGCATATACTACGCATATCTCTTAAAACTTTCTCATGTACGAAACAAAGAGCCATGTAAATGCTTCACATGACTCGCTCAGAATCTCATCCTTCTAATTTTCCATTTCTTAGCAGCCACCTGCATCGTGCTTAAATACGGAACGCTTGCGCGCTTATATCAGAGATGAAAGTTTCTTATTGGTCGAGGATAAGGTTCGACCTGCCGGTTGCGGCAATGTCACTGCGCGCTGTTTGCGCCAGGAACGAAAGTGGGGAGAACATCATAAATATATAGAAAGCAATACATATAGAGCCACTAAAAATCTCCAGTACTATACATATTAGACATTACTCTCCAAAAGCACAAAGTATGTACCTCTGGACCACATGACTATTAATCCGTAATATTAAACCGTTGAAAGGAGCTCAAATTTCCAGAATGATCTATGAGAATCCACGAATCTTCTGGCCTAACGAGCATTGTACATACATACACAACCATGATTAATATTTGAGATAAAGTTCTCCCATGCGGCCCAATTAAGCTATTTCGCCATAGGCACTATCTAACCAGGACACTGTATATCCATGACGGTAACCTTTCTTTTCATATCACACTTCTTACTGCATGTGTATAAATTAGCCCACTCATCCATTGAACATATGTTCAATGCAGTCGGATGGCCCTGGCTAAAGCACTGCTCTTACATCTTCCTTTATTTTTCTCCAGGGCCCTTACCATACCCAGCGGGTGATACAAATCCAAAATCCTGCTTCCTGTACCTACATACAACCCTATGTAAATAGGATACCAGACGATGTCAACCAAAAGGTGTCCTGTGCTGGTGTTGTGGCAGAATAGATGGCAGTAGTGGTGCATACTCTATATCACAGTAATGTAAAGCACTACCTATATATACCTAGGGGTTCACTCCTGCTAGTAGTAGGAGACGTAGGTATTCCAGGGGGTGGTGTGTCGAGTATCAGTGGTGGGGACACTCGGGATAGTCTAGCTCTGTAATCGTATTGTACGCAGTCGACTGGCGTGACTCCGCATAAGCGGACTGCAGTATCAAACGGGTGCTTGGCGAGAATCGCAGCTTACGCGACAGTATGCTCACTGGCAAGGATCGCCCTCGCGATAATCCCGAGTCCTTCCGCGCCGTCGAGAACTACGGGAAGTCCCGGAGCAAGGACCTCTGACACGCAGACCTCCCTTGGCCACATGCTTAGTCAAAAATTCATTGCCGTAACCATAGACGCTAAAGCAGAGTCGATAACCCGCCTTCTCCTCACGGTTTAATTAACGTATCATCTATGTCTGACGTTGATGAGATAAAATCTCATGATCATCACTCCGTCAAGTATCATGCTTAATCATTATATCTGCTTTTCAAAATAATTTTAAATTATCAAAAGTAACGTGCGGTCACGTCTATGAAAGTTTTCGGTACAGTAAGTCTTTAATCGTTTATACTGATTATTATTCTTATTGTGTATCGATAAGGGTTATCATATGATTTTTCAATCTCGCATCATCTTTGCTTATACGTACTTAACCTACGTGGCTATGGGAATGCCCTCATTGATGTAACGTTCGAAAAGTCGTTCCCACGATTACAGAGGTCATAGGTCGTTTCGCACAAAAGGTTGGGGCTGACTGACGTCATAATTCCCACCCTCGAGTTTACCGGAACATCGTCTCACCACCTAAAGCGAACCTTTCGTGCCTTCGAGCCATTAGACGTGTAGCGGCTTACTTTAGTTCGCGATATTCGTGGCTGACGTCGCGACGGCACCGGCATACGCGGGGAAGCTTACCGAGGTGCGAGACCTTTGTGCGAGTTTACATTAGAGCGACGCTGGGAATTTCTTTTGAGAGTTTATCGATTGCTGGAATTACCTGTCGCAATAAATAATTATGTGCTCGTGATGATATGCTCGGGGGTATGAAAATCTTAAGAAACGTAAACGCAAGTATTTTTTATGGCCAAATATTTTTTGTTTATAAAGTCGTTTCACTGTATTTTTTTGTATGCATTGGTCGCAGCGAGAATTTTTTTTTCCGACTACACTTCGTATCCGCCGGTACATGAAAATTCGGGTATAAATTTCGAAAAATCGTTATCGAATTAGCTGTAACTGTAAATTGTGTCTCTGATGGTCACTGATAAATTTTTTTATTTTTATTTTATCTAATATTATCAGAGAGCGGATATACAGTATTTGGTTTGAATCCAGGGTGTAATATTATTAGCCGTTTGACATTCTTCACCCAATAACTTATAGGGTAGGAAAGTTTAGAGGTTGGATGTAATTTTTATTTTATTACCTCGTAATTCTTCCATTCGGTTAAAATCCTGAAATTTGTTAGACGCTCGAGCACGGATTTATTTTATTCATCTCGTATATTCTTAGGGGAATATAGAAATCGACAGATACAGAAAGAAAAAGAGAGAGAGAGAGAGAGAGAGAGAGAGAGAGAGAGAGAGAGAGAGAGAGAGAGAGAGAGAAATTAGGACATTTGCCAATGATTCCGGGAGTACTAAAAAAAAACCGACCTGTTTTCATCGAAGTTTACTATAGCGCTTTTCATTATATGTAAACGCCCAAGAGCTCATATATTTTTTTTTCTTTTGATAAACTATCAAAATACAAAATTCTTATTATCCATAACTGTACAATAGATTGTAATTGATGTTAATCCAATTTATGATTGCAGGTTAAATTTTATCCATTATCTCAAATTGATTATCAATATATTCTTGGGCACAAAGAAACAGGACGCCATTAATATTTCATGGATATCCGACTCAATGCGTTGGTTTTTGTTATACACACATATATATAGTGTACGACAAGAAGAAAGGTTAATAAATTACTAACGATTTAAGGAGGCACAAAGGAAAACATGTATCAGAAAAAGAACATGAATGGAATCCCAAGGGAAATTATAGGCGCAATTTATTAAACTCTGAAAAAAGAGAGAAAGCTCAAAGCAGTAATAAAAAAGTTCTACTGTGACGGAAACAATGTAAGGTATTTTGGCAATCACGTGCGCGCTCTGAAATTCGCATTGAAAATTTTTGAAAAACATGTTTATACGTATTGTCTGAAATTATGAGAGTCACACGGTCGATATCTTCTTATAACAGAATAACTTTGATTACCTCTTTTCATATATCTTTACACAATCACTTGACCTACTGAAAATTAGTCCTTTAAAAATTAATATACTTAACGAAGACAATAAAATGTAACATTTGTTTTATTATTAACTTGCGACAGATTTGCAATAGTTTTTCATGCTTTTACATATTCAATACATTTTTCACCGTGCAGAGGCTGGACTCGTTGCCCGTTTGGTACATATATACACAGCATCACTAGCTTCTGGATAGTATTTTCTCGAGTTTGATTACACAGCAATGGGATTACCAGCTTCATTCTAATTCACGTCATAAATTACACCGCACGAGCGTCCCGACGCCTGGCGTCGCGTATCTGCTGTTAGCCAGCAACGTAGAAAGAGCATAAGCACTGCTCGTCGTACCACATGGAAAAATATTTATACATATACCTCCAAAAGAGAAGGAAAAAGAAATGACACAAAATCAGGATAAAAAAATTAGCAGCAAACTCCTGTCACTTGTGTCAATTTTATAGAAGATTTTTATTCACAATGAATATACTTGTTTTATGTGAATAAAAAAATTGTCACAAAATCTCTCTCTCTCCTATCTGGATCTTCATCGGTAACGATAATTGCGAAATGTTACGTAATCAAATGGAAGAGGATATTGCTGCTATCGGATGGAAATAACGACCACTGCACTTTACGGACTGGCATTTATATTGTTGAAATATATGTATGCCGAAGGAACGCGTGGAAGCGAGATAGAGAATGAAACAAGGGACGATATAGGTATTAGGTCGGTGACGGCCGACGAGCCGAAATTAATTTTGGTGCTCGTTCCGTTTTGCAAACCCAGACAAAAGCGGACAAGTAAAATGTAGGATCGATATATGTCTATATATACGCTGCCTTCATAACCCATAGTACATACATACTTTCTGGTGCATAACCACAGACGTGCATATGTGGCATATAGCTGGATAAACGTGACATACATACGGTACACCAAAGCAAGCAAGGATCGTTAGATAGAAGGTGGTTAGAGTTAAGGGTATTCTGGTGAAAAAGGTCAGGAAGTCCGGTCAAGGTTGAAGAAAATATTTTTCCTTGTCTCTGGTAGCTCTTTATTTTTTATTCCTTTTTTTTTTCACAATTCCACTCTCTGTAATTAACGTCCGACTGAGTTGCTTACCTACAGGCAATTTACCATTGTTCCATGTTAAATGTATGTACTAATTTCACGTTTAAAGTGTCATACTCTCTTGACCTTCTTTTACCGGAATGTCTATTAGCTTGCCCACGTGTTCGTGACGTGCTCTATCATAGAAATTAACTGGGCTTTTTCATTTGCGAGCTCTGATAGGTTCTTATACATTTTTAAAGATGATTTTTCGACGGTCTAGGGTTTCACGTGGATACGCAATTTGGAGGTTAGTTTGTCAGTTATTATTCATTGTCGTTGGATGATTGATAGTCACAGTTTATCATTTATAGTACTGGGGTTAATGAAACTGACCCCATTATACAGTATGGGTATACTGTATGTGATAGATGTAAGAGAGGCGAATAGGTTAAATTGTAAAAAATGGAGGGATCGATTTTAGGCTTTAAAAAACCAATCTGAATCTTATATCTTTTTATATTTGCCTAGTCCGTATGTTAAAGTTTGTATGAATTTGTGAGTTTTATTTATCCTTTGAATTTTCCATGGGCTGTAACGATCATTACTACGAAATCGATATGTCCTTCGCGTGCACGAATTCAGCGGGTTTGCCTGAAATCGCGTTAATTCATCTCGCGTGTCCAGGCGAACCTCAAGATTCTTGGTAGCTTTAAAGGACCTGCTTGAATTACGTCCTATACGATACAATAGGTTTCGCTGGCCTTGAGCGTGGTATAAAAGTCTTTTCTTATCGACTGCTGTAGAGGAACGCGATTTTGGTGTCTTGAAAAAAATAACAATGACCATGACGAATACTCGTGGGAAATAGAAGGGAAAAAAGGAACGTGTCATCTCGATATAAAGATCTGTTTAAATTATGCCTGATAAAAATCCAAAGACTCGAGATGGCCAACGTGATAAGGATTTCTTTGCCGATGAGATTTCATCCATCGGTATGTCCTTGCGACCTAGTGGCAGCGCTTCATCCGGTGAGTCTTCAGCATTAATTTGGATGGCTACCAATTTTATTCTACACGTGCTATACATATATTTATATTGCTTTCAGTGATTTCAATTTATTGCCCCTTGTGTCAAGGATGAAAATGTTCGGATGGAGCAGTAACCATTTTTTTTTTTTTTTTTTTTTTTTTTTTTTTTTTTTTTTTTTTTTTTTTTTTTTTTTTTTTTTTTTTTTCTTAAAAAATAATTGCTTATCCAGTGTATCTGTTTTTTGTTTCAGGCATCTCGAGCCTCGCGAGCTGCGGCGAAGTCGAAGCGTTGCCTGAATTACCGCAGCATGACGAAGAGCGTCTTCAACGTGCGGCGCGATTGCTGCAGCAACGTCTGGTCCTGCGTCAGTGGTTAGCGGATCATGGGCTTCAGAATCACTACCAAAAGTATGAGCTAAGAGGGAAAGAGAGTTGTGTATTATGGATTTAAAGAGAAATTGGCTGATCTTGAAATTTGAAAAGCACTTTGGTTCCTTGTAAGTCGCATTAATCAATCTGTTCAGGTTAATGCAGATGGAAGTGGTATCCTTGGAAGACGTTTACTGGGTGGAGGATCATGCAGCACGTGCAGCTCTTGGAAAAGATCTTCCACGATGGATACAAGCTCGACAGACGTTACCAACGTCCAAAGAAGATTTGGCGAGCCTCAAAGCTGATCTTTGGAGTTCAGTTGTTAAGAACAGTCAACACCAAGATGCGTGGACCTGGGGTACATGTTTGAATTGGCGTTGTAGTTGTTTGTTATGAGTTTGACAATTTTTTGTATTTTTTTAAGGTGGAATGCTGGTTGTATCTGTATCGGTAGCAGGGTTAGTCACTCTCGCTGCTATGACGCAGCCAGCACTGGCTCCTGAAGCTAAACATTCTCTGCTACAGTACGTCACTGGGAAATATTTACTACCAAGTAATTGTCGGGTCCATTTCGAATGGGAGGAACCACAGCTTGTTGGGGAAACTATGACTTTTACCGTTAAAGTAATTAAACCGAATCTTTTAATTGGATTGTCATTATTTTTCTTCATTTCTGTAGATAAAATGTTCATACGGCTCTCTTGTACATTCAGTTCTATCAACGTAACGGGCAGCCGTATCCGATTTGTGATAAAGACAATCTGATTGTGGAAGTGACAGAGGGTACCAGAAGGATAGCTACCCTGATAGAATTAGGAGGAACTGATCCCAGGGCTGCGAATACTGCTGTGGTCAAATTTACAGTTAGACACGCGGGACAGTATAGGATCGCTGTGCTTATTGGATCGTGTCACGTTCATGGAAGTCCTTTCCTTAAGAATTTTCTTCCAGGTAAATAAATTGAGACATTTAATTGATATTATTGACTTTGTATTATCAACTTTTCCTTAATACAGGACCTCCGGATCCTAATAAAACGATTTTTGTAAGACAAAGCTCAACGGTTGTATGTACAGCTGGTATTGCTCATTCTTTGGCCATTGAACCACGTGATGAATATGATAATCTTTGCGTTTTTGGTCCTGGAGATAAACCTACAGACGGATACAACGTAAATATTACTCAGGCAAGTTTTTATAATTTGATATTAATCAATACGCAATAGATATTTTTATTAAGTACTGATTAAGTATTGGATCAATGATTTAATTTTTTATACACAGATTGGTAACGTAGCAGAAGTGGGATCAGCGGTAGCTTGTAGTATTCAGTTAGAGTACGATTCTCCAAATCAAAGAATTCGTTTAAAAGTCAGTTTTCCCAAGGGTGGCTGTTATCATGCTACGGTCAGCTTGTCAGGATTGCAGTTGCACAATGGAGACTTTGATATCATTGTTCTTGAGAGTACGTAGAAGATAAATTAGTCTTACAAAGATATAATTATTGATTCCTTTTACTCATTTGTTTGGAAATGCAGGTTCTGTTGCTCGAATGGTCCATAATAATGTAGCTTCTAAGGATCCAGACATTTGTTACGCGGCAAAACTCCTGGGGATGCAGGGTGAACGTTTCTCTAAACCCAAAAAAGTTTTTTGCTTCATCTCACCCAAACAACTGACCATCAAGGAGTACCTGCTCAGATTTATACCAAAGCGCCTCGTCACCTTCAGATTATGTCCATCGACCAAGGTAAATTTGGCTATGGTGTGTAAATATTTTTTTTATTTATTTTGTTCAGTTAATTAAACAAATAACCTTTTAAATTTATACGACCGAGATGATTTTATCCAGATCTTTCATGTCTTGTAAAAGTGACGTATTGGTTTTCAGTTTCATTTTGAAAGCTCAAATAATCAACACGACGGCTATGACTCGTTTTCGATAGACGATGGTTGTCAGCCGCCTGTTGAATTGATATCTCATTATCGGGATGTGATTGCTGCGACATTTACGCTTTTTCTCCTGAAGAACATTGGCGGCAGTGAGACCTTTGCTGATAAACAGGACTTCTTTTATCACGAAGTACGAAAACACCATCAGAAACACTATCACGAGAAACTCTCTATGAAAGTACAAAGAGATAAGCTCTTGGAGTCCGTAAGTTTTATTTCTTTTTATGTATCTTCATTATCAAAAGAATTTAATCGAATTTAATTTTCGATCACAATGATTACAGTCTATGAAAGCCACAAAAGGATTTTCAGTGAGCGAGTGGTGTCGGAATTTCGAAATAACTTTTCAAGGTGAACAAGGTACGAATTCGACTTAAAATAAGAAAGGTCTTTTTTAATTGATACGCTTTCTTTATGAAATTACTTGGCATTGTTTGTAGGCGTGGATTGGGGTGGTGTAAGACGCGAATGGTTCGAATTAATTTGTGCAACACTATTCGATTCTGGGAATGGACTATTTGCTAGTTTTGGAGAGTCCCAGCAAGCTCTGGTACATCCGAACAGCAAACGACCAGCGTATTTAAAATTGAAACACTTTGAGTTTGCTGGTCGCATAGTAGGAAAATGTTTATACGAATCTGCACTGGGTGGTTCCTATAGACAGTTAGTTCGCGCCAGGTTCACCAGAAGCTTTCTGGCCCAAATAATAGGACTAAGAGTTCACTACAAGGTAAGATAATTCTTAAGAATGTCCTTCACAAAGAAAAGTACTCCGAACAAAATATTAAAATTCACACAACCCTAGTATTTCGAGCAAGATGATCCTGATCTCTACCTGAGCAAGGTGAAATACATCCTGGAGAATGATGTCGAAGAGATGGAACTTTATTTTGTGGAAGAGGAATACGATAAGGATGGGCAACTACTCAAGGTATCTGTAATAATTTTTTCACAAGATTTAAATCATTAATAAGTTATCTACTGTATTCTATAATATTGTCTTCCTTCTGGTAGGTCGCAGAATTAATTCCAGGTGGCAGTAAAGTACGTGTCACGAATGACACAAAGCTTCGGTACTTAGATGCTTTGGCTCAGCACAGACTCGCCAGTTCAATTCGCAATGAGATCGATCATTTCCTACGTGGACTCAACGAACTCATTCCGGACAACCTCCTGGGGATCTTCGACGAGAACGAGCTGGAGTTACTACTCTGCGGCACTGGAGAATACAGCGTGGCCGATCTGCGCGCTCATCATATAGCTAATGGCAGCTCCCCGGAATTCCTTCGCGTACTCGACTGGTTCTGGACAGCTGTGAGTAACTTCACGCAAGAAGAAATGGCACGACTTTTACAATTTACAACTGGCTGCTCCCAACTTCCGCCTGGTGGATTTCAACAGCTCAGTCCAAGATTTCAAATCACGGCTGCTCCAACCTTTGCCAATTTACCAACGGCTCATACCTGGTAAATATTTTCTTCGAAAAATTTACACTCTTATCTTCGTGTCACGTTATTACATTCTTATATATTTTTTTCAGCTTCAATCAACTTTGCCTACCCGATTACGAATGCTACGATCATTTCGAACGAGCTCTGCTCCTTGCGATCAGTGAAGGCACTGAGGGCTTTGGTATGATCTAACTTGGAGTAAATTATTTCAGGATTAACCTCTAGTCCAATCTAGTTCGGTCAGTTCCAATAAGTTCTTTAAGTACTTAGTTTTGTTTTAGCACTGATACAAGTCTCGCCTGTACCATTTTAAAAATATGGTTTAAGATGAGTACTGCAGATACTGATCATCTTTGAAACGATGAACAATCAAATCCCACTGCTGTTTAAAGTCAATGAAATTACAATCGATTCTGGCTATAGGGACTCTGAGTATAGTCGCGTTTTCCCTCAATTCTCTTTCTCAACTATCGCAGATAAGGAACGACTTCTGCACTCTTTTGTGCCTCTCAGCTCGTGTCTTACACGCGCTCTGTCAAACGCTTGGCCTATTACAGTGCAGCGAAGGCTCTCCGTAATATCGTTATCTCGCTACTTATCGTGCCTCAGAGCCCCGGATGCGCGATTATACAGAAAGAGTCGACTGTACGTTAAATAAAAGAAAGAAAGGCCGAAGGTTAAGTGAGAATCCGTAAAGCACAATTTTTCGAGTAAATTCGTTTTTATTATTACTAATATTTATTATCAAAAGAAAACACCAAACATTTAAAATAATCGACGAAAGCTGCACTGAACGAGAAAAATAATTTTTTAATCAATTCGCACGCGGCACGAGATTAAAAATAATTACGATTCTTGGAATCGTGTCTAATAATAAATAAGGAAAGAGTGTTGAATTTGTATTATAATTATTATTATTGTATTTCTTTCCATTAACGACTGACAAATTCTGTTTAATACTATTCTTAGTTTTATTCGTATTAACACTTCAGTATTATCGATAAACCCTCGTTTTTATTACTACGAAGAGACACGTGTATTCCTAAAGTAACTATCAGTATATCACAATGAAAGATTTTGTAATGCGCCTGCGATTCCTCAATCAATATCGCGCAGTCGAGGAGAAAGGTTAAAATAAAATTTCGCGTAACATGTATTCGCATCTGTACGAAGAAAGAGAAATTATGTAAAATATTTGTTAACTAGTATTTACGTATTACCGAGTTCAGAGAATGATGCGTAATTTTACGAAGACTTATTTACTTGAATATTGATTACTTTTTAAAACAAGATTATATTACAAGAATCAAACTCAAATAAGAAGACGGGGCGAGGAAAAAAAAAGCTGTACGAATTACTGGAATCGTAACAAGTTAAGCGTTCTTGAACAAGTATTAATTGGTTTTGCGTGGACATTCCAAGAACTTGCAATAATTTTATGTAATTATTTTGTAGCAATATCGATTTTAAATCTACAACCTCTTCTATCTATAACGTCACTTTTAAATCTCTATTTTTATCATTGTTCTCTTGTTCTCCACTTCATATATTTTTAGTTTGACAGTTTTTAACATTCTCCGGTTCCTCTTATCCGGATTCTTAAATAATTTATGTATTAAGCTCTATTTCACAAGGCGGGGTTGCTTTCATGAGACGTGAGAACTATAAAGAAATCCTTGTATTCAGAAACAATCACGAGTGTGATCGGACACGTTGTACTTTGTGTCAGTTGTACGTGGCTGCTTTTGTTATTGAGCGACCGTAACGGTTTTTTTTTTAACAAAAAAAATACATATACTACCGGAAGTAGCATGGTTACGAATATGTGATTTGGGATTTATTAATTAAAGAAGAAAGACGTATTTAACAACAGCGAGAGTTAGGTGAATTTTTTAAAGCATTATGATAGTACGAATTTTAGCAACACGGAGTGGCATCCAATGATAGTTTGTTTTTTTCAAAATTGTTACGGTACCATGAAAAACAATATTGTAAAAATATAGATTAATAAAAGAATTACCAACTTACTACTTGTGTAAATTTATTTATAAAACGTATATTTGTATACCGAGTATTTTGTTGTTCGGTTTTTCTTGTCTACATTGTATGAAATTTATTGAGTAAAAATAATTTTGTTGTCACAGTATCCACAATTATCCATGAATATACGTATTAAAAAAATAAAATAAAAAAGAGATCGAATATACCTTTAAGAATGTCTATGATTGAAAGAATGTACTTGATGATTTGATAGGATAAAAATTTTCATCTGCATATTCCTCGCTCCGGTCAATATTTTTCAGTATCAATGTACATTACTCGTGAGCTCCTTCCTGTTACCACGTTCATCGCGCCATTAAAAAATTCCGTGACAGCAGCCACATTGCAATGCTCACGAAAATGATCTAATAAAAAAAAATTAATTTCTGTAATACATTTCATAGCGAAATACCTTGAATTTACTTTCTCCATATATCCTACACCATACCTAAGATGTCATTGGACTTCCGGTACTTGAAAGAAATGACAGGGTGCGCAAAATGGCGCGAGGTGCTCGTACGACACTTCCGGCTATTTGAAGAACACGACTGCTCCAGCCACTTTCCTGAGACTGCCTAGCAATACGTTCCTTCAGTTCACACAGTTCCATCCTAAGAATTAATAAATTATGACAAAAAAAAAGAGTTCACTGGAAGACAAAACACGTATAGAGTGATTCTAAATACATTTGAGAAGTGTACGCAGATTCTAAACGTCTGAGGGCAGCCTCCCGATCAGAAAGTTGACTCTCCAAATTAGCAGCACCCAAACTCAAAGCTCTACCAGCTTCCTCACTGGTCCACAAACGTTGTTCCAATTTGAGTCTCTCCTCTTCCTTAGCCGCCAATTCTCTAAATGATTATACACTTCAGAAATTCAGCATATCAACATCATTTAGACTCTGTCGTACTTTGAGTATCTATGAATCTGTTCCTGAGCTGTTTCCACCAGTGCGACTTGTCCTGCTAGTTTCATTTCCAATTCCTCCACAGCACTCTCAGCCTTCTCCGCCCTGTCGTTATGAGCGGCAGCTAAGGATTCACAAGCTGTGACCTGGATTATATGAATTCCAGTTTCACATTATTTATCTATGAATGCAGAGACTAAGGTCAAGCAAGATACAAAACTACACGTCTGCCGAATCCAAATGTCTGATAAGAACTTGATAGCTCCACACGCACTCTGGAGAATAATAATTTAATAAGGTATTCTGTATTGATCCCTCTTCCTGGAAGAGACCTAGGGTTTGTTATGCAACATTGAGTCACGTCGGTAATATAACCAAGTGACTCACACTTTTGGACTAGGTACTTTTTAGGGCGCTGAACCATCCGGTACGTTCTTAATGGAGACTGAACAATGTGTAACACTTAATCATTCTATTACGAATAACAATATCTTTCTCTAGTGACATCCGTATCACCCCTAAAATTTTAACATAAATCGATAATACAGACAGGGGTATAAAAGACATTGATTATTCCCCTCTGAGGAATTTATGCGAACGTCAAGAATGAGTCATGGATTTATAGTCGCTCTGTTTTTTTACGTAGAAACTAACTTCATCCCCTCATAGGTCAGACCTTGTCGCCGCAAAGTTGAACTCTGAGTCACGGAACGAGGTCAATTCTATGAAGGCAAAAAAATTACTAAAGTCATCCGTCGTCAAACTTTCTCATAGAGTCAGGATTGACTGCCTAGTAATTTTGGTGATATTACCAAGAAAATTTGTGTCGGTTCAGTAAAGAGTATTTGAAGCGGAACTAATGTTGTACCTTATCCAATAGTATTTTTTTATCATCACGCAGTTTCAATAGTTTCTCCCTGTCTCGAGTCATTTGAGCATCCAGTGCATGTAGCTGACTTTGTGTGGACATGAGCTCGTTGCGCAAATTCTCAGCAGTTACCGTGCGCTGCTCTGATAATTCTCGTAGTTCCTTAGCATCGTTCTCTACCTTCTCCTTTTCCTATTTTAGGAAACAATCAAGGAAATCGCATTAAATTCAATAGCAGCCAATCATAAGGAATATCATTCTCATACCGTTCTCAGAGTATCCCGTTCTTTCGAGACATCGTCAAGTTGAACCTTGACCCTGTGTACCTCAGCATTCAGTTTACCAACCCTGCTGTTTTCTGTCTCTAACAATCTTCGCAGCACAACGATCTGTATGTGAAGATGATCCACCTGCTGTCCTAACTGCTTGATAGTTTCATGGAGCTGGTCGACTTCCTGGCGCCTACGTCGCCACGCATTTACCACCAGAGTATGGCAGACCAGACCTGCTGCTTTACCGATACTTTGATCCTGATCAACGATATTATTCTCCAACGTCCATATTCCAGTAGCAGAGTTCCCACCGTCCCCTAGAAATTCTGTGGCTCTTTCCTCGACGTCTTCTAGACGAGCTACGCTGGAGCTACTGTCCGACCTTATGATTAAATTATTTAAGAATATTATTGTGTAGTTTGTGTCTATCAAGAACATTTTATACCGTCAGTGATCAATTAATTACTTACTTTAGATCACCAATCTCAGGATCGACTGGAGATAGATCGATCATTGAGAGGCTCTTCTTACAGCGCGACGATACCGGGATACGAAATGTCGGAGTGCATTCCCCGGCCTCTAGGCAACTCCTGGTGCCTTTGGTCTTCCCGTGATTTGCTGCAATGGTTGTGGGCTGCTTGAAGGGGCTCTTTGCCGCTCGGTTGTAAGGACGTCTTTGACATCTTATCGGCACCTGGGAATACTGTAATTTACGTTGTCCCCATTGAATTAGGTTATACTCGGTGGTACGAGACGAGGTCTGATCCTGGCTCTTCGCCAGGGAACGAGGAGTTGTATTACTCTTGGGTGCTACCGTTGTTTGTGGCATTTCTTTACGTTTGCCAGTAGAAGTGATACTGATTGTTTGTTGTATACTTCGTCATGGGGACGACGAGATCATCAGGAAGACAAAGGACGAACGCTTTTAGTAGATATCTGTTGTGAGTTAATAAATTCATATAAACTGTTAATATATTAACAGGGATACGAGATTTAATTATTTTTTTTAAATGACATAAGCAACACTTAATTCCTTTCAGCCTAACTTGAAATTTTGAAAAATATCAAATGTCATATTCCCGCTTGACAAGCCAGGGACCTTGGAGTGACGGCCGCCGTCGGATTTGACGCCTGGTCTCCCCTCTCCGATAACACCCGAAATCCAGAGCCCCCCGTGGCCATAAAGTCGCAGACAAGTCAGACCGCGGAATGCGTTGAAAATAAGATCGTCAATGTCGAAATAGACGAACTTTCCATTCTAGCACATGAATGTCCCTTGAGTTTCGCTGACGTATCTACGATCGAGGGCCCCAGGTGGCCCCAGGACACCATGGCGATGTATGACTATGACATCCCTGGAGGCGAGTAGCCACATGACCCTCGATTAACCAATGAGTGTACAGACCTGTTACGCTTCTCCGAAAAATGTTGTGGTCATCCTCATAGGCTATGCTTTCCCATCGGAGTTGAACGAGAGTTTAAATACATTGAATGTATATCTATAGATTACTACGGTATACATATACGGCACACGTATTTCATCTCTCACCGATTCCGATGGAAAACGCATAGACGTAGTACGGATGTATGTACTACGTCTATGGTCATCCTTGCCAAAAATAATTTCACGCTCGTTTCGTGTGAGCGCGAGGGGTTATCCTGAGATTCAGCAAGTTGCATGGAGCATCCGAGAGAGCGAATCAGGCGCTGGCATTAGTGCTGCTCGTCTACGAGGACAACGGCGTACATAATATTGCCTGCTTGGAGTGTGTAGCAGTAGGAAGTTACGGAGCGTGCGTGTTTGATCTGCTCGTGGTGCCTCGATGAGTTCCGGAGTTCGTTGATTAGTAAAACGAGCTGGCTATGTTGTGAATAGCAGTGAACAGTGACTTTCCTCGGAGGAGGCCGCTGCGTGCCTTATATCCTGGTGTTACTAAAAAGGTGGGAAAAACATAAGGATCCTGCTTACGGACGTAATCCTGAACTCATACGCCAGAGGACGAATTACAGCAAAAAGTATCTCTTCAGAGGCTGTGGACTCCACTGTTAGCTTAAGGCGACCTTCTTAGGTCTGTTTGATTGAACTAGTTGGAAAACTGAAAAATCATATACCCCTTTGGTATTAGCGGATCATTTTGGATTATGAAGGATTATCTTCTTGAGTTTTCTGACTAGTCCGACAGACCTGGGAAGACAGGTTTAAGTTGGCGAGTCTCTCGCATTGTCCTACGATAGTTTAATTATAGCCGGACGGGGCCGGACAGCCTAGGCTCTCCCAAAATAATGATTGGATCAGCCGTGTCCGCTTTGCGCCCCTCTAACGGGATCCCCAGGGATATTGCTACTTCGTTCCTCGTGGTTGCTTATGAACAGTGGTCCCTTGAGTCTTAGACTTAGGCTGTAACGTAAATTTTGACTCTAACCTATACAGGGTTCTTGAACGTTTATAGTATTCTTATTTGAGACAAGTTTTTCATGCTCTGTAAGTCATTGATCTGTGATTTTATTTATTGCTCTCTGGTCATTCTCGTGAGCGTTGAAGTATTACATTTTATAACGGCTTCTATGTTAATTTTTTCTTAAGGTGTGTGTTTTATTCAAGTAAATTATATTTCTGAATAATTGATACAAGTGGATTTTGTGCAATCAGTAATTGGGTTTCTAGATGAAAATAACAATTGGCATCAAGCAGTAGGAGGTATGGACCAGTACCATGGTATGCAGGATGGGAATATAAACATAAGTGATGTCAGTGAGTATCATTTTTTACGATTCAGTAATGTGTAAGGTAGAGTAAAAGATGCTAACATTAACTTCTTTCAAAGTTGAAGTTATCCAGACAACGGATCCTGGATTTGTGGAGTGTAACGGTGGTGAAACTGTGGGAATGATATCAGGAGGAGGCGTAGAGGTTGCAAAGCCAACCAGAGGTGCTGACAATGGAAAAAGTGGAAGCCGGAGTCAGCCTTATGTAGAAATTGTTCAACAGCCAGCTAGTAAGGCACTGCGTTTTCGATATGAATGTGAGGGCCGATCTGCAGGCAGTATACCAGGTGTTAACAGTACACCTGAAAACAAGACTTTTCCTAGCATACGAGTGAGTAGTTAACAATAGTCCTAATCCTTTGGCACAAAGTAAAACTCCAACTAAGGGTATTTGAAACAGGTAGTAGGTTACAAGGGTCGAGCTATTGCAGTGGTTTCGTGCGTAACCAAAGATGTTCCGTACAGACCACACCCTCATAATCTTGTTGGGAAGGATGTCTGCAAACGTGGAGTATGCACTGTAGAAATAGCATCGGAGAACATGACTGTCACATTTGCCAATCTTGGCATTCAGTGTGTCAAGAAAAAGGACATCGAAGAAGCGCTTAGGATTAGAGAAGAGATACGCGTGGACCCCTTTCGAAGTAGGTTCATTAAAAGGGTCAACAAGTATTATCTTATAAACTATGTAGTCTTAACCTTACATAAACCTTACCATTTCAGCGGGCTTTGACCATAAGAGACAACCCACTAGCATTGATTTGAATGCTGTCAGGTTGTGTTTTCAAGTGTTCCTCGAAGGAGCAGAAAAAGGGAAGTTCAATGTTTCCCTGCCTCCAGTTGTCTCCGATCCAATATATGATAAAAGTAAGTTTACTTGCATACTATAAAAAATACTCAGATACACCTTAACCAGAAGTAAACATCTTACACATTAAACTCTTACAGAGGCAATGTCAGATCTGGTGATCTGTAAACTTAGTACATGCAGTGCATCGGTTGCGGGAGGTACCGAGATGATGCTCTTCTGTGAAAAAGTTGCAAAAGAAGACATCCAGGTACGATTTTTTGAGGAACGAGATGGTCAGCTAGTCTGGGAAGGATTTGGAGACTTTCAGCCAACCCACGTCCATAAGCAGGTAACCAAATTTACGGACCTAATCTTTATTTATAAAATTCCCAAGAAAATACACCGGTAACTGAGACCATCTCCAGCTATAAAGTTCAAGTCTCTTATTAATTGTTTTTCACCACTTCCTCATTGTTACTTTAATAGTTGCAACATATATAAATAAAGCAAATGATTCTCCAGTGAGAAAACAATTACGTCTTTGCTATATTTATAGATAGCTATAAAAAGCATGAAGGTCATTAATCGTCTTAACGGTTAATTTTTTTTAACCAGGTTGGAATCGCCTTCAGAACACCAAGCTACCGAATGCAGCAGGTGGATCAGCCGGTGCAGATATTCATCCAGCTGAAGAGGCCATCGGACGGTTCCACGAGCGATCCTCTACCCTTTCAGCTGTTGCCGCTAGGTTCAGGTAGGCCCGCCTTCTGGTCCCTGCGCAAAGCCTTTGCCAGGAAGAAGGCCGACTACAACACTTTCGGAAAAATCCTCGCGACAGAGGCAGCACTGCTGTCCAGCTCGACGCCAAAACTCTCGCGCACCATCGACGAATTTAATAACAATGATCTCGAAACAAAACGTTCGCATCACAAGATATCCGCGTTGCGCGCCTTGAATGATCTTTATCATGTAAAAAATGGCTTAGACTCGCGTAACGGTAATGACAACGAATCCAAAATGGATTCTACGAATACAAATAACTATTCTAGAAAGGATACAGTACATTTTGAAAATAACGATATCACTGTAGTGGCAGAGAAGAAATCCGGGCAACAGCCTACGGAATTTTTTGCTATAAAAAGCAATGTCGACCTAGGCAATCCTGGTACTGTTAATGATAACGAGCAAAATAATGCTAACATAATTAAAGTTAATATCAATGAAAGTGCCATAGTTCCAGATTCCACAGACGTAGCAAAAGGTAGATCCGATTGGTTCGATTACTCAGAGGTTGGCAAGTGGGTGCAAAGGGGACAGGATTGTTTAAAAGAAAAGGACGTAGACGATGGTAAAAATGATCCAGACGATAGTAGCAAGTCCCTTAACGAATTGCTGAATCAAGTTGCTGAGATCGATCAGATCTATGCCGACACTCATACTAAATTATTACAAGCTGCCCTGGAGCAAAATTTAACCGAACGCGAAATGGATGTAGACGTCTGCGACAACCAGACGTACACGAGTCTTCAAATGGCTATGAAGAATCCTGTGGAGCTCTTTGATATACAAGACGACAGGAAGTACGAGGATGTTGTGATACCCAACCAAGAACCTATGATAACGATATCGCCACCTCCACCTCCGCCTCCCTTAGCCACCAAACGAGACGTTACCAGAGAGTTTGAGGAAAGACTTCCACCACTACCTCCTAAACGAATTCGCAAGATGCCTTCAATGCCAGCTTTACCACGTCCGACTTCCTCGCAGACGCTTAACGAATCCTCTGTAGAGGCTCCTCATAAGAATCTACCATCGCTTCCTGGCACTTTACCCAAGCAATCGAAGCAGAGTCTATTCTCTAAATTATTTGCCAAGAAACCTAAAAAGGGCTCAATGTCTGATGCTACCAGAGAGAGCAGCAGGTCTCTGAACGTGACAGGTAGTTTAAATTCCTTGACCAAGGCCAGTGCTCAGGATCTGTCTCAGGAAGACTCTCAGCAACTACCTAGACCAAGTATGGCTAGTGTTACCAGCGTTAAATCCTTGAGACTCGATGGCGATGAGACTCCTCCCTATGGCGTGGAACTTACCGAAGCTGAACACTATGCTCTTTATACTGCAATGGCGCCACATGCTACAGCCTCTGAGTTCGACGAGATGTCCTTTTATTACAGTCCTGTGGAAGGCGGCAAGATCCTTACCGACGGCAAGGAGACATAAGTCATTATTTATCTTTATCTTGTTTGAGTGCATATACTGCCACATAGCGTTGATGTATTTTCAAAAATTAGACGTTAGGATACCATGGAAACGCGGCTGCTGACATCTGTAGAAATGTCGAGCCTTGCCTCTTTTTGTGCAAAATATTTCTTGACATGTAAATTTGTCTTACTGCCTCTCGAAATTCAGTCTGTCGAGAGCAAGAAAATTCCCTGATCTTCTCAGGGAATCTTTAGCTAAGTATCGTTTTTTTGTTTTATTTTTGGAAAAAACGATTCATCTTAGTTTGTTATTATCGTTGATATTCTCTTATTTTTTATTGGATCTGGTCTAATTCGATTAGTCGATCTAGCCGAGACAGACCCGTTAATTGTTGTGTTAACGCTTGTTGCGTCTCTGGAAGAAGTGCAAAAATTCTAGTCACACATTTTGCTTTATCTAGTCATCCTAGGATTCGTTCTCCATGTAGACAATCAATTTGATTATTTCGATTTACTTTCTAGTCAAGACATCCTAATGTTAGATTCATTATGTTTTTATCATTGTATTCCTAATTTGTATCGCGTTGTTAAGTTTCGTACGTTTAACTGGTGTTTACCAAATTTCAGTATCGCCTGGTGCTACGAGGTGTCACTTTTTATAACAAAAACGTTCGCCGATTGCCGATCGGTTTGTAACGATAGAAATTGTTGCTTGGATTTCTTCTATTGTTAATCGTCACATAAAGATTAACTCGCGAGTGATCTAAAGGATCCTAAGAGAAAATTGTAGCTCGACAAAAACAAATGTGTTAAGTGAACGAGCGAAAGTGGCGGAAAACTACGGTATGCGCGCCGTTTGTAATTTTTATTGTCTACTTTTTGTCCTCTGCTGCGCATCCCGTGATACGTATGTTAATTGATAAGCGAATTTTTGATTTTCGAAACGTGAGGCCTTCCTTTTTCTAACGTTTGTATAACGTATCGTCGTTCCTAGATGATCCCGATTCGTTAAGGCGAAAGAGGCAAAAGTTTAATAATGGTCCAGGCGCGCTTGTCTTGAAACACATGAAAGCGGAAGCTGAGAAACGTGAGTATCCGCATTGTGTACCTCGCATCGTTTATATCTTTATTACGCAGCTTGCCTGGTGCTGGTTATCTAGGTGGTACTGGTTGTCATGATAAAATTATGAGAACATTGTTCTAAACAAAAGAGATAAATAATAACAAGAGAACCATGCACGAGAAATCTATATCTGCTGCCCAAAAAAAGGCCAAAAATTGTCTGTTTCAAAATTCAAATTCGGCAATAATTAATCTCGTAGAATGTTGGCACAACCGGCGTGGGAGCTTTTGCGATTTTTCTGCATGGATTCTCCAAAGATCATCTCATTGTGGTAATGGTGTTTGTGTTACTACGTGAAGTCGTTTTTTGGAATTTCATATTTCTCGTGTTCCTGCGCATTGTAAGGGAAGAGGAACAAAAATAAGAGTTGTATTTTTTTTTTTTGGAGGATTTGTCGTACTCGCGAATGGACAGAAATTGTATACAATGTGAGAGGGATGAAAATTTTTTGGAATTTGAAATTTGCGATTAAATATGTATATATATATACACAAATAATTTTGCAATATACATATATACATATACTGTATATAAATAACGAGAAACTCTATAATCCTCGTTCTTTATGGTGGCAGTAAAAAATGGCAAGAATCCAGTTGCTGTTTTCAAATGAAATATTTTTTATATACTAATAACATGCGGTCGAACATATTTCCTCGCCTTCTTCAGCTATCATATGCACTGACTAACCACACACACCGATTAGACTCTTCCTTCACTCTGAAAGTCTCTGGGAATCCTGCAAAATGGAAGTTTCTTGCGAAAACACCACAAGACCCAGCATGTCGGACGCATCGTGTTTTGCTATTCTTGCTCTCGATAATAACGAACGGTAAAGAAAAAACGCACTTTTGTCAGTCTCTTGTATAATTTTATCAAATTCATTGTAATTCATGCTCAAAATGAAATCTTTCGGGAGTCCACTTTCATAGTGCAAGAGGGGATTAAAGGACAAGATACTCGCGCGGCAATTAGAGAAAGAAAAATTGTATTAAAAAGTACGACGTATATACATATATATAATATATATATTTTCACACGATTGAAATGATAATCCTGTATTTTATACTTTTTTAAGAATGCATTTTATATAGACATTGAAATGTTTGTAACTTATACGGCGAGAGTGTAAGGAGAATTATCTTTTTTATTTAATTAAGAATCGACGCTTTCTTTTATAATCCTTCGACTCTCTAATGAGCGTGCATTCAAAGTTGTACCTCTCTGAAATACAAAATTGGCTTGTAGATTGGAGTTCGTTTGATGAAATGACGCACAAAAAATTGTTCCGATTAAACGTCGCAAGCTCAATACGTGTTATTGATGAAAGCGAATAATAAAATATAATTAAACGATTCTTGTGCTCCGCTCTCGCCGTGCAACGCTGTGCTTTACGAAAGAAACCTTTAAGATATTATTATAATATAATCCCATTGTAATACGACAAACTGATGTTGTGCAATATTTTTACGGTACAATTTTTATGACCAGGGTTACTTGGAGACGGGGATAAGCCTTTTTTGTCCGGAAAAGTTATATTTATAAATTGTATCGATTTAATTATATATATATATAATATATATATATTATTACTTGGTGCTCCAAGAAGAATATTGTTCTTTTTCTATCTATCCATCTGGTTGATAAATTTCAGATTTTTGTTGGTCACATTTAGGAAGTTCAGGTATGATAGCGTGATGGTGTTTGCTTGTTTTTCTTTTTCTGTTCAATCCATTTACTCTGTTTTCCTTCATTTTGATGTACTGAGTTCAGGTTTTTCCTGATATTCTTCGTCAAATCCATCCACTTGTTAGAAACCATTCAGTTTTGCAGGGTGACTATTTGTTTTTCTTTGATGCATTATTAAAGAGCGTGAAATAGAATTGTGGCTGTCCTATTTAACAATGATAACTTATAATATTCATTTCCACTAACATCTGCACTGACTTTGACTTTGCTTACCTAAGAAGTTTCATATATTGCTTTGATTCCTTTGAATTTCTAACACCTTTAATCATTTTCCATCATGCTTTTGGGATATGGTAATATTCACACTGCTTTCAAAGAAACTCTTAAGAATTGGTAATTTGATTTTATTAATAAATAATAGTAAAGATTTTGTTAATCAATTTGGATCCCGTAGTTTTGATGGTTTGATACTTTGTTTTGCAATTTCACTTGTGTTGAACATGTTCGTTGTACTAATGTGACTGTTTTATAGATTCTGCAATGCTCAATCCACCGGTTCAATACAATTTCAATCTCATCAAATCTGAGCCAGTCGAACCAGGATCTATACCTTATGTTGGTTCACCCTACGGAGGTGGAATTGCAACAGGAGGTACCTCTCCGATGTATGTACCAAGTGCATCACCACTACCACAAACACCAGCAGTAATGCAAAACCTCAGGTAATAATATTTCAGTGTATGTATTACTTGTAGTGTATGAACGTACATAATAATCGGTTATATTATTTTATAGACCACAGCAGACACCAGGACGTACACCTTCTCCAATGGAATATAGTCCATATAACATTAACTTACCGCAGCAACAGAATTTAACACTGCAATATCAAGCACAACACAATATGCAAACAGTATCTCCAGTACCATCGATGCATGAGCAACAGCAACAGTTATCCTACGTTGCCCAACAGCACCAACGACAACAACAACAAATACCACTAAACATACTGACCCCAGAACAGGATGAAGCTGCATTTCAACAGATGGTTAACCCTGGTAAACTATACCTCAATAATTCTCCTGCCCGTCACAAACTTGAGTGTCAGGAATTCATGAACAACAAAGTTCCGCTAATCTTTAACAAGATTCATAAATCCCAGGTATTTCCTAAACAACAAACTATTATAACTGTTAAATATTTTCTGACAGGTGACATGGAAGGTGCAACAGGTGTAACTCTAGACATGGACAGTCAGCAGTATCACTTTGACATGAATGTTAATCTCAATCTAGACTCTACGGATTTGGCGCTCCTCGACACTGCTCTATCCGAGAACCTCTCTAGTGGACTTTCAATTACTGATCCTATTAAGGTAATATGACAGCTTCCTCCTATAAAGTTTCATTCGCATTTACAATTGTCTTTCATACAGAAATCAGTGTCGGTCAAATGTACGGATGCTCAGGACGCCAGCATGGCCGCCGAAGTTAGCGAGATGACTGACAGTTTTACCAGACTGACACGTAACACCATTCAGGAGCTGTGTACTCTAAATAATATATATAAACCCAGCAGAGACAACTTTGGATAGAAAAATCTGCATGCAGCAAAAACAACGTTGACCATCCGTACTGCTTATTCGGCGTACAAAAACATCTTGTAACACTCATCCAAGAGCACTGAAAGTGCCTTTAACGGTGTAAACAGGGCTGCAACCTGTCACGGAGTAACATGGACCTTACCGATAAGGTCTAATTGTTAGACACGAATAATTTCCATCATAACATCGACTTCCATTCAACGAACTACAGTACGTAATAATAGGCTGTTATCGGTCGGAGATTGATGGTCCTCCCAAAATGAGAAATGTCCATTTCATTTAAAGATCTGAATCATGATGAGAGAAAACGTGACTCCGTAGACTTGACGTCGCAGAATTCTATTCCTTTAGTAAGGACCAAAAGCATCGTTATCCGTGTAATCGGCATTTTTACTCATTAAGATGCGTTTATGACGTGGAAAAGAAAAGTAATCCTTGCGAAAGTATACTATGTAAATTGTTGATTCGACGTAAAGGCAAATGGTCGACGTACCGTTGCGCAGAATCAGTTTTTTAAAAACTGTTTCTTTTTTTTTTTACTCATTGAATTCATTCGTCCACGTCGGTCGTCGATCCATTGAATTATTCAATGTAATCCAATGCATTTTTCATGTTGGCTAATCGGATATTTCGCAAATGTATAAGCGAGCCTTTACTTCCGTAATGTAGTCAGTGTGCAACTCGCGTTTAATCTCGATGGCGCATGCGCGCAGCACTGGCTTCTTTGTCGTCGTCTGAACGCAATTAATAAAATTAACGAAGCGCGCAGCTCGTTATTGATATATAAGAATGCCTTTCGCGAAACTTTCGTACTAACTTCCGTCCCACCATTGAATTTATATATATACATATATATATTATTTGACATTTTAATTGATCGGCATGTGATTGATCGTTAATTATACGCGAGAAAGGTACGAAATTGCCACCAGGAATTAAACCAACATCCTTTGATGCATCCTTCATGGTGGACCAGAACCACTAAAGTCTAGCGTAGTTTGCCTTAGGCACTCGTTTTACGTATATTATTTTTGTGATATTAATGTTTTAATGTCTGACGTGGGGACGTCTATACTCGTCTATACTCGTACGTGTCAGAAGGAGCTCACGTGCCGTGAAGAATACTTTAAGTTTTTAATCTAAGGAGATTAGTTCGCCGGGAGCCATTGGAAGCTTCCTGCAAATTTGTTTCTTTTCCCTTTTCTTATAACTTTACGAAACTAATACTGCACTCGAACTACTTAAGGATAAATGGAGAACTCGTGAATTATTTTGTATTTTTCGAACTCTCTTCGTTTCTTTTTTCTCTCTAGAGCACTTCTAAATTTTGTTTAACGCTGACGTTTCCGGAGAAGATTTTACACGAATGCTCGAATTTTTAACGGAAACTAAAGATAAAGCTTAGGCTTCCTTTATGCACTGGGTAGCACACATTTTATTGTTACGTGTACAGTACTTTATATACAAATGAATATACACAGTATGCATGTATATAAATTGTATGTGATATAATTATTATTTGTATTGTATATCTATGATTTATATATGTGTATTCTAATGCGAAAAAGAATAATGCGTGAACAATTGAGAGAAAGCGAATTTAATGAAGACAGCATGAGAGCGACGAGTGAACGTGAATTATAATTGTGATTAAAAGGATCTGTCGAGTGACCAAAGTCACGGAGCGTGAAAAAAAATCGCGAATCGTTCTGATTAGACAATTTTTACTCAAAGATATCACGTGTGCAATTCTTGGAATTCGTTAATATATCAAATATCAAGAATTATAGGGATGTTGAGAAAATGCGTCCCGATGCGTTTTGAAAAAATTTATTGTTTAATTCGAATGATAGACAACATTTTCGCATCGCTTGACTTCAGTCAACTTACATCTTAAAAATGTTACAATAAAAGATTAGGAAAAGAAATACTGTTATATATACATAAATATAAATATTAATATATACATATTGTTGTTACGTCTGACACAGAGCCAGCGCCTTTCTGTTCCCCCTTGGTATCCCTGCTAGCGAAAGGTCATGGACCACAACGATCGTCCCTGATCCTCAACCAATGTGCGTTACTTACTATAAGTCATAGATTATAATAATTAAGGGAAATTATTAGATTACACATGATACCCCAGACTCTCTCACATTTCAAGGAATCACATCTATACTGCTACACTTTAGGCGGATGAGCGGAAAGAAAGAGAGATCACGACAGACAAAGAACGAGGACGTGTGGACAATAATGCTGAGTGCAATACCTGGAAGTAAACTCCCTAATAGGCAATTTTGCCATAGCACCGCGAAACCGCGCACTTCAGGACCTTGACCAACTACCTTCCCCCGTTCCCTCGACTAACCTCTCGACCAAGATGAATCGTGGTCCATGCACCAACTCAAAGGGGAATCCGCCGATCGAAGAATTGTAATTAGAATTCTATTGACGAATCAGGCGCAAAAGCCTCGATTTCCTCATAACACGCATCCAAAGTCAACAACTGCCTGACAAGCCACCAAATCCCCTCCGAATTCAAAGTATTCCTTACGAACATTGACACCGATCATCGTCAGTTACTTATCAACCTTCTTTCCTTTCCTTACTGATCAACCCTCTGGTAGAACAGTATCCATTCTGGAGTCTTGAGCCGATTGTCCGCATCGGTCAAGTGTTGTGCCGATCAGATACCTTAGGGCCATTTCGATCAAGGCTCACCTTACTACGTCGTTATACGTATACTATATATATGTTATTATATTATAACACTTATTACTTTATTGTATTATTTTTCCTAGCCAAGTAATACATATATTACCAGAAGTTACACCAACGTGTTACGTTTGGCAGAGATCAGTAGGGAGATGCACGCTGTATCACCCTGATGAACTAGTCCGATAGACTTTTTAGGAGACTTTGATTCATCTTTTGATGGAGAAACACAATCCAAAAATGAAAACTCTAGCTCTTTCAAAGAACTTTTGGCAGTAGTTAATGTGGACTTTTGGGTATCACCTTTGTCACAATTTATATCATCCTTGGACTCTTCATCATTAGCTAGAAGATTATCCAGAATATCTCCTAAATCATTGTCGCTATCGTCATCCATATTTAATTAATTTGCTTAAAAAAGCTGAAAAACAAATCCATCTTTGAGTGCACTGGTAGTACAATACGTGTCATGTAATAAATGCTCGCTACGTAGAAAATACTAAAATACTTACTAAATTATCGTTATAAATACTAGATCAGCATACGAACTGCACTTAAATAATTATTAGCACTTTCATTAAGTGGCACATTAGATATATGAATTTCAACTGAGAAGCATTCTTGAAATTTACAGATCTATCTGCTGACTGACAGCCCACATAACTGGTTCCCGCCCAAATAAGCGGGCCACTGCCACACGGAAGTTATATATATATATATACAAGTCACAAGTGGCGCTTTTCCTGCAAGAAATTCCATTGTACGTTGGAATTTTTCAAAATAAAAAAAAACCAAACGCATTTTATTTTATTAAACATTATTAGCACACCCCACAGCGTTATCATATTTACTGAGCTCTAAACTTATAATCAAGGTACAGACAATGCTCTACCTATTTAAAATACTGTACACATATGTTATCAAATATTCCAACGAAACAAAAGTACTTGGTTACAACGTACACGGCAATTGCCGTCGAACTTTCTCATTCTGAGTCCGTCTTTCATACAACATAAAATCCTGCAAAGCTGTCATTCTTTACTTTTCTGCATGTCTCTTGCCTATAGTACATCCTCTTCTATTTGAATCAGAGATGAGTAGAGAGATGCACAACGTTATAGTTTTAAGCAATACTAAAAACATGGCGCTGAATCGTAACGGTGAGTATGGAAGTAGAATTTTGAGATCATCGTCTCCATCGATAATGCATATCCCGTCGTAGCCGAGCTGAACGTGATCACGAACGGGTAGCCTGGCGGGCAGAGTCCTCCGCTACTTATCGCTGCTTCCCAAAGCAACACTTAGAACGAGACAACTCATCGGATATAGCCTAAATAATTTTTTTCTTTGCAATCCTAAATTCGATCGCACAGTGTAAGCTCGGTAAGTTTAATATGACAAAAGCAAGCAACTCATGTCTGCCTGCACTGAAGCGTATGATGCCACAAGCATATTTAATACATATTATACCGATGTTGCTTAGCAGAACGATTGTTGAAACCTATCAGGAACTGTAGAACTTGTCGAGAACTATTGAAAAAGCCTATTGTTGAATCATTTTCAAGAGATTTTAAAAAAGTGCGATGCTGGAGCTGACATCCATGTAACACCTCCATTTTTGTAATGTTAATATAATATGTATTATAATGTATTAATATAATATGTATAAATATGTATTTTAATAGAGAGTCCACAGTGTTCTTCTCTCGTCGGTGCGCTATAAACGCGAAATTGGCAAAATCCAGAAGACTCGCGTGGACGAGGAAAAATAATTTAGTACACAGTGGAATCTGCGGTTGATCACTCGGAAACAAGTATAGCTGAAAATATAGTCAGACACTACCGCGCAACACTTTCCGAATGCATCACCAAAATCTCGCACAAATATAAGTCAGATCTATGCTATACTTCCGGTATCAGCTGAGTATAGCAAATTTATGGCTTTCAGCATGGCCGCTTACATAAATGTTTATGGTGAGTAGAAGAAAAAAGGAAAAAAGAAAAAGATCACTTACCCCAGGATCTTCGTCTGCCTTTCTCTTGTCCATTTGTATTGATCATTGGTCCAGTACATCTTTCGACACTCGAGGTTCACTTTGGAGACGACTTGACGATTCCAGCCTTGGCCACTATTTTGCACTTCCTGTATTTTCGGTTGCGGACTAATTCTTCACTTGTTACGAATAGACCAATACGCGAATTTCCGCGAACTTTAGATGATGTCTTCGCGACGCACTTATTCAAATGTATCAATTCACTACGTCACACTTTTTTTCGTAAATGAAGGTACAGGAGTATAGAAAGAGACGTTTCGCGACGCACCACCCTGTAATGCTCCTAAAGCGTACGTTTCATTAGCACAGCAGGGATCTAAGTGCGTCTCTCTCGCACGCATACGGATTAATACACTTTCTTTACTACCTATAACTATACTACCTTTAACTTATAACTATACTACCTATAAATGTTTTGAAAAACTCACGAAAATGGTGTCTAGACCCTTTATCTGCTACGCACTAATACTGAATTTAAAAGAAAACTATGAAGGTACAAACGATGGAACGCAGTGGAGATATACTAGAGACTGTACTCTTTCGAAGGGGACTGATTGGAAAGAGGTACAAACGATACTTTCTTGAAGAACTTCAAAAATTGGTGTCTGAGCATTGTACGTGCTACGCACTTAACTAGAATTTCTATAGTTCCCGATAGGTTTTAACAATAGTTCTGCTATGTAACATCGTTAAAATAGGAATTTTCCAAAAATTTAGGTGCTACATGGGTGTCAGTTCCAGCACTGCACTTTTTTAAAATTCTTGAAAATGATTCAACAATAGGCTTTTTCAATAGCTCTCGAGGAGTTCTATAGTTCCAGATAGGTTTTAACAACAGTTCTGCTACGTAACATCGTTAAAATACCTATTAAGGATACTAGTCGCACCATGTGCTTCAGTGCAGGTATGCATAAGGAGCTGGCTTTCAGTGTTGTTTTCAGGTTGTGTTTCAAACAGTTCCGGAATAATTCTCTCAAGTACTCAATGTTGGGACCATAGTTCCGCTTGGAACTATTGTTAAATAATGATGGAAGCTAGCACCGCATCGCTGCACTCCTTAACACAGGCAGGCATAAGGTGCTGGCTTTTGTCTTAGTAAATCTTATCGAGCTTACACTGTACATTTGAATTTAAGATTACAAAAAAAAAGATTTAGGCAATATCTGATAAGCGGCCTCTTTCTAAGGGTTGCTCTGGGAATCAGTTGTAAGTTGTGGAGAATCTCTGCCCGCCAGGCTACCCGTTCGTGATCACGTTCAGCTCGGCTACGACGGGATATGCATTACCGACGGAAGCGATGATCACAAAATTCTATTCCCGGACTCGCCGCTACGATTTAGCGCCATGTTTTTGGTATCGCCTAAAACCGTAGCGTTGTGCATCTCCCTACTGATCTCTGCGTTTGGAAACGGATCGATGTCAGCTTGTTTCCAGATTTGACCGAGGGCGTCGCCACTATCGCAGTAAATATGGGGTGGGACCCAACGAACCCTAATTGTTGTAATATCCGAATAAAAGATGATAAATATTAACGAGGACGAGATTAAAGAATTATGGACTCGTAGTAATCAGTTTAAACCAATTATTGATAACAGCGAGACGCCTTTTGAAATGTACCGTATGATATATGTGGAAAGGAGAACATTGATACGTACATACAGGGTGAAACGCATTGTTCGTGGCACTGGATATTAATCGATTAACTGTCAATCCCTCGTGGTAAGGCAGCTGCACGATAGTTCAAAGTGGAAGCATCAATGCAGAGGGACCTTTTGTGCCTCTTGAAAAAATCAGCATCGTTACCAATACAGCTTTGACGGCGAAGGACGCCATGATTTTTTACAGAGATGGAGATTACAAAAAAGTATATGGTACAATTTTCTTTATTTCCTTTCGTGATTTGATTATTGATAACTGTGATTCATTTTTGTGGATTTAAATGAAATGGTGTTTTAGTAATCGAATCGTTAACAGATATGTCTTACTAATTGATGACTCCATGTAATTTTTTTTCAAGCTCGACTTGCTGTAGTCCCAACCGTCGTTCGTGGGTGAGACTGTTTTGTTACAGAACGTACGTTCCTGTTTCGTCATAAGTGTTAAGGATAAATCTTATGAATTTTCTTGCTGAATTCTTACGAGCTAAATTCAATTACAGTGCGTACCAAGAAGACTCGTCAATTTGTTACGGACCAGGGATAATACACGATTAATCCACGTATAATTATGCCCTTTACATAACGTACCATTCGCTTAAGTATTATTTCATATACGAGAGCATAGTAATCTGATGTGTAGCAACGTAACGAGCATCCACGTACAGCAGAGAGCATTTTTAATATTGTTCTTGACATTAACATGGTGAGTATTAGTGGGAGGGAACAAAAGAATTGTAGATTAAAAAAATAGACATAGCGAGACTTACCGTAAAACTTATTTTTTCCAGGTTGCTGTCGACAAAAGATGCACACACGAAAAACGTCCAACGACGACAACAACAATAATAATAAACCGCGTGGATAATGTTTTCCAAAATGTATTTACTTAAAAATACAATGAAAGTGTCAATTCTGATGGAATGGACAGAAATACATAATCTGTATGGTGTAGGTAATTATGCTGTTATCCAAATTGTCATTGTCGTTATTCCCCTTCATTAATATCTTATAACTTTGTCTTTTTTTTTCGTTTTTCGTCCAACGCTAAGAAATTAAAAGAAACAACGGATGGAGAGAACAAGAGAGCGAGTAGCTATACCTATGAACGAACACAGTCAAAACGAAGAGTGAAACTTCTGACAGATAGACAAGAATTAAGGACAGAAGATTCAGAGATGACACGATGCTCGTTATTATCCTGTACAAAAGTAGCTTTCGAACAAGACTTATTATGAACACACAAACCAATAATTCTTAGCCTAGGTATTCACTCGTTACATTTTCTTTTCTGCTTTTTTTGTAAATGCACAAGAGATTTATCGTAAACAACTTTTCTCTACCTTTTCTCGAAAACCGCTTCTCTCTCTCTTTCTATACTCTTTTTTTTCCTTCTTCCTCCTACTCTTCGCTCATCTAACGTACATAGAGAACGTAGGTTCGCGTTTCCGTATGCAAACGTAGACGACGGAATATCCATAGTTCTAGCTACATATACTCACGGAACATGAAATGACAATGGCGCTGATACGGGTATATAGCAACCCCGTTAGCACCACGTGGAACGGGCCCCCATTTTCAAAGAATATCACTTTCTATTATTTATATCTCTTCCTGTCTCTCCATTCTCTCCTCGTGTCGAAAATCCAAAAGTCTTGTCGACAGAGACAATTTCCTGATGTCGTCATATCCGAGTCAGGTAACCAAACAGGGGAATCCCCGCGCACAACCGTAATTCATTATAACATTCTCTCGCTCCCTCCCTCTCTCTGTCTCTTGAATTCGATTTATGGAAGCACGCAACGGCCACGCTCGACATTTGCTTTACGGGGTGGCTGCCAATCAACGTAGCCTCAAACCTTCGCTAAGTGTCGCTCACTCAAAGAGAAGTGTCTATGAAATTTAAAAAAAAAGGAAATAAACGAGACCTTATTTCTTTATGTATAGTTAAATAAGTATTACTAAGAACGCTCTTTGTGTCCCGCTTTAGGTACCTGGGCCACCTTAAAGAGAGGATTCACGATTTGAAAGCGTCATGTCGCCATCTTCGTACGAACACGAAAATATGAACGCGCCTTGTCTCGTCACATTAGTATGTCCCACCAGGAGACATTACCTCCCGTGAACGACATTCGCAGGACACACGTCAAGAAGAACAACTATATATAAATACATATATAGCACAAAGGACCTTAGTAGACTAAAGAATCTGAATAAAAGTGTCATTACGAAACAGAATGCTCGCAACGTAAACGAGAATCGTACGATCCCCTTCGTCTCTCGCTCGTTCACTCGGATTTCAAAAAAAAAAAAAATAATCGTCAGCATATAACACATATAAGTTCACGTACTTCTCACTCGTATCTCTGAATAATACTCTCCTCCGTCCTTTTCCCTGTTTCCTCTTATCTCATTATTTCATCTCGCCTTCGCACTTCTGTTCCTTTTCATTGTTTGTATATTTTTTTTGTTTCTTTTTATTTAACTATCCTCCTTCGAAAATATTTGTACATTAAAACGTGGGACATCGTCTCGCATTGAAATTATCGTTACCTCCTTTTATTTTTTTTTCTCATTATTATTAATATTAATATTATTATTATTATGCAGCTATGGTACAATGGTATCGTAACCGCAATGTCTCATCACCCATTTTGTTTATTTTACTTGATTTCCCCAACTCCCCTTTTTCTCTCGTCCGTCTCTTACTTGGCTACCGGTGCACTTAGACCGGAATAAGTGACATCGTTCTACCGGAACACGCGTTTCCTCCTTCTACCTCCACCCCCCCCCCTCGCCACTCCTCGCAAGAGTAAAATCACACTTCTTATCATCTTTCCCCCTTTTTGCCTACGTATACGCATACCAGTCTCCCATACGCGTTAATCGTATTCGTGACTTTACATTATACTCTCTCTATCTTCCCGTTTATCATTCCTTCCTCCGTGGAACCTACCGGCGTGTCCCGAACTTCTACACGCTCCTGGAATACCTTCATTCGTGCCGCGTTTCCGCGTTCGTAAAACTCATCCCGGCCAAAGCAAAGCCAACGAACGGCAGAAGGTGGTGGATTGTTGTGCTTCTTCTTCTAGAACAAAGAGCTCTCGCAAGGAATTCGTAAGGTCCTTAATTTCACCCGGGTCGAACTGAACGCGTTACGCACCCCCCCCCCTCCCCCTCCAACTGCAGAGACCAACGTAAAAATAAAGTGGCATCGCACCGATATCGAAAGGGGGGAGGCATCCTTGCAAAACATTGTGTTCGTAAAGACAGTCGTGAATTTAAAAAAAAGAGCCACACCTACTGTTCAATTATAAAAACGAATTTACGCTCGAGCAAAAGACGTAGACTCGAATGGGGAGAGAAAATAACTTGAATAAATAATCCTCACGGTTATCCATACGTATCCTAGGTTTTACAGGTGTTCAATTCTTTTTTTTTTTCTTATCAGAATGCCATCTCCCTCTTATACGTCAATGCGTCGTCGACGTGTCTAACCGTCGGTTCGGTCGGTTTGTCAGTTTGTCCGTCTCGGTCGGTCAGTTCGATCGATATCAAAAGCACGCGAAAAATCGAAATACCCAGAGCGATATCCGCATGCATAACCCACAAGCTGGCGGCTGGTAACAGCGTAACGGCGAATCGATCGAGATACTATTTTTCCAGGAGAGTGTTCCCGGGGAGGGGAGGGGGGTAGAGGGTAAGAGGGGGAAGGCTTTATAGGGACCTACAGGAAGAATATGGAAGGCCGACAAGGAGAGGAGGATGTGAGCGAAAGAGAGAGAGAGATAGAAACACAGAGGTAGATAGGGTGGAAGGTTCGTAGGATCAGGGTGGGAATTTAGGGGTTGGCGCAGAAGGGGACGCACTACCCTCTTTGAAATATATATATATGTATATATATATGTATGTATATACATACATATACATACGTTTCTGTGGATATATATATATATATATTAATGTATCGGTAGCGTGACGCCAATTGCTCTCCCTACTCTATGCCCAAAGACTAAAGAGTGTAACAACCTCTCCACATTACGTTACGTTACATAATATTATCGTTAATAATAAAATGTTTCTTAATCCATAACTTTATACATACTATGTATAATTATTATGCAATGTTAAAGTCACACGTTTTACTCATCCACACAGTCTGGGCGCGAGGGTCGCATCGAATAATCGTTAATTCGTGTCGGCTTTGGTGCGAGGCGAACGAAGCTTGTCTATAGGCAAGACGTAACTAGAGCGGGTTGGTTGATATCGAGAGTGATCATCCGTAGGGTGAAGTTTGAAGGGGTTAGAGGTAGGGGTTTCGTACGCAGGTACCACAGAGAGCGCAACTGGTTCTCTGTGCCATTAAGGAATGATACCGAAGTATGCGATACCGTGTTCATTTCTATCAAAGGTTTCATTTTTTTGGTTTCAGTGTCCCCTGCAAAAGGACGCGCCATTCGTATTTGCCGCGCGTAATGCGTGACGTTAAAAAAAAAAAAGAACCGCTTTTTCAAATGTATGAGGAATACGAGCTCTCCTCGCGCCATGACACACTCCTATTACACATGATCGGTCTTTCTGTAAACGAAATTCAGTTTCACGCGCACTAGGTGAGAGACATTCGTCGAACTACAAACGTAAATTTGATTTCAAATGTAAAAAAATCACCCACAAATGTCCATTTTACACTATTTAAATACAATAGAGCTTTTTTTTATTATATCTTAAATAAGTTTTCGTTATAAAACTTTCCCGCGATGAAAGCCAAGGTATCGGCAAATACCGATTTGATAGGTTGTTCGGGCGAAACGATAGATCCGCCACGCTAGGGAAGGTAGGGATTCGGGTGGGTTCACGGAGAAGACAGAGAGAGGTTGAAGGACGTATGAGGGAAATGAAAATGGTGCGAGAGTCGAGGAGAGAATGAAGATAGAAAGTAAAGGAAGGAGCGCGAGGATCGGCGAGAAGAGCGTTGGCTCTTCCTCAAAGGTCCATCCATTCGCGTTCCTTCTCTATCTCGTTCTTGTGTTCTGTCGTGAGTTGTTCTTTTTTGTGTTTGTGGTGAGGAGGGAGTATGGGGAGTTTGTGAGCCCCAGCCAAGGGAGAAAAAGGTGCTCTGGGCCGCTCGACGGATTCTTTTTATCAAAGGACTTACGGGAATAAGAGCATGACAGAGAGGCGTTATGATTCTCTATGGGGATGGATGCAAGGAAGTGATTTTCACGCGAAGTGGACGAGAGGGGCGAATTTACGGTTTCCGGTCAAACGACCTAGCAGTAGTATTTGGTGATGGCTAGGATGGCCAGAATTGCGATGAGCCGAGGCTCCCGTCTCTCTCGATGAGCTGTGTTCGTGTTCTTGTTGATTGTACGTCTCCGTTTAATGCTTTTTATTTGTTTTTTTTTCTTCCATCCGTCGCTGTTGTTCCAGTCATTTCCTTTTTTTTTTCTTTCTCTATCCTGTCCGCATCAGCACGCCGCAACTCCGGGCGAGGTGGCAACTTTTAGTTGTAGAGTCGAGAGGGCTATCCTTTTGCGTGTGGACGTGGCTGCGGCGAGGCGCCGATCATTGCTACCAACCGCTCAATATGAGGAGTAAGTGTCCGCTGAGAAGACTGCCGAAGATCGACGATGGCGCCGCCGCCGTCCGCCTATACCTCCCCTTCTTACTTATATACTTCTCTCCGTTCCTTCATTATGCGTCCTCCTCTTCGTCTTCTCCTTCAGCTTCCACCTCGGCTTCCGCGTCGTCCTCCTCCTCGTCTGCGTTCAGGATAACACGGGTTAATTAATCGTTTATTTATTCCCATTGACAATCTATCGTTACTCAGTGACAACGATAACGGGCCTACTGCACGCTATACAAATTATTAAGGCACAGCCGTTGTTACGTCCTGTATTCTTACCTTCGCATTCTTCCAGGTCATCGTCGCCCTCCGCTATGTCATCCTCCTCGTCGTCTTCTTCCCCATCGCCGTCAACCTCCTCCTCCTCGCCCTCAATTTCCTCTTCGACTTCCTCCTCCTCTACCTCCCCGTCGCCATTCTCCTCCTTCTTCTGTTTCTTCACCTCGTCGTTCTTTTCCTGTAACAGGTAAGTAGTCCGAATTAGTGTCATACTCCAGTTCACAAACTGACCTGCAGAGCGCACTGGGTAATGCAAAGTGCACCGTGCCCGTGCGTCCCTCGTCGTTAATACCAACAATTCCACCAGGGTGAAGGAATACGGGTACGGGTACGCAACAATTACCTCGAACTACGTCAATAACAACTATTAAGATAGTACAATATTAAACGAAACGAGTAGATCTACTTTTTTTTACTAGTAATAAACAAGTTTTCCCAGTCGGTAAGTCAGAGGTTATCGACGGAGCAGCGTCGCAGCGTAGATTAAAAAAATTACGTGGGTACCAAGAAAGCTTCTCACATCTAATCTATCTTCTAAATATACTAGATCAAAGAAGAAGCAAATTGTCAACGTGAATCACAGCGCACCACGAGAAGAGATTTCAAAGGAATCTAAGTACAAAGTTTCCAAGTCCTCGGAAACGGGAAGACGACCAAACAGACTCCCCGCCGATGAATCCTAAATTGCAATACCGACTAGTCAATCTGTTGGTACACGTCAGTGAGAGAGTATTATAGTGTATGCACACAAGTGCGGCAAGTGTACCTCACCTGTCACTGAAACGAAAGCCAGTAGTTGCCACTGCGGCGTGCGATTCCGTGCAATCAGCGTGAAAGAATTGCGCGAGTAGGGGAATGGCGGACAAGCGCGGGTAAGGGGGCAGGAGGAGAGTGAGAAGGGGTCACGAGGAATAGGGCGATGGTAAAGAGGGGATGACGAAGGGGAGAAAGGTATCTAGAGAGGAGAATGAGCGGGTGACTGAGTAAAGTGGTTAACAGAGACTGGGAGAGGGTGAGAGGAGAGGTAAGGAAGAGAGGGGAGAGAGAGAGAGAGAGAATATTTCCCTCGACACGTAGAAATAGGAGGGATGTCGAGAGACGGAAATCGAAACGGAGAGGGGATATATATTTCTCTTCCCCTGGAAATGCCAAAGGAGGGAAAGGGTGTATCCCGTAGGGTGAGGTTGGGACGTCAGTGCCGTATCATGCCAGAAGGGGGCTCTAGGCATAAGAAAGAAAGAAAAATATCTAGAAGCCCTCGTGCATGGAGAATAAAGTATAAGTAACAAAAATACCATTTGCACTGATTCTCATCGCTAATGATCCGATACAATTAAAATACGTTAATGATCGTTCGACGATAATCCAATTCTTCCCGAGTTATTGCTTTTATATCAATAATCAACCTGACAACCAAATTCCCGATTGTACTCACGATCCTCGTAAATAAATCCCGTATAAAAATACCACGGGCTCATTCGGAAGGTGGCAATTAAACACTGAATGATTCGACAGCCATTCCTAATTTGGATTCTATTAGTTCACCTTCGAGGTAACTTACAATGTCTTTTGATGAGAGACATAAGGAACGAGCCGTGGAGGGGGGGTGGAGAATCGCACGTGACGATCAAACAGCCGTTACGTAACAATACGACGAAGGTCCTTCCCCATCCTCTGTTATCTAGGAATTTAAGTATATCGCTTAAAGACTCGAACCGGAGCACGCGTATCCCTCGAGAAACCGGAGATACATGCCTATCAGAATTCGGAATTGTCGCAGACCGTAATTCGTCTAGACCTCCGAGAGAAGACCATGCCGGCAGGAGCGTTACTCGCAATCGTATGGCGTGCGTAACAGCGCGCGACGATGATTGGCGGCGAGGGAAGAAGAGGGACACACGGAGCATCCAGAGCAGCCAATAAAACGAGGAGTAGAGGAAGGGATAGAGCAGCCATTGGCAGATGCCCCGAGGATGACACGACTGCCGGTAGAGCTCGTACTAGTGGAATCTTCATCGTAGACCGTGAGACGATTCAGGTAGGGATAAAAAGTGACTGACTGCTAAGAGCAACGTGCAGGGTGTCGTCGATACAA